GATTTTTGATAATGTCCCACCTTAGAAACACAAAGAAAACAAAAAAAATAAAGCAAGACAATGGAATGTTTTAATGAACAAAAACATATCAGGACAAGAATATTAAGGAGCAATACAAAAAAAACAAATGAATAGGAATATTTTCTATAGTTGGTTTGTAAGGATTAGTTTTGTTTTTACGAGTTGATCACGGATCGGTATCAGTTAGAGAACCATTGAAAACCAGCCAAGAGTATTGGACAGCTGTTTCATCCTAGTTTAGAAATCATTAGCAGTACGCACCCACGAGTTCGCCTTGCAATCTGGGGGTCCTGGGTTCAAACCCTGGCAGTGGATGCGTACTGCCGATGATTTCCAAACTAGGGTGAAATAGTACTCCTGGCTGGTTTCCAGTGGTTTTCTAACTGATATCAATCCGTGATCAACTCGTAAAAATAGGATATTGCAAAAGTTAACAAACCCCATTAAGCAGAGGTTGAGGTCTTTATTTCCCTATATAGAATGTCAGATCAGGTAAGATCCGAGGAAACATCTAATCCAAGTTATTTATTTATTTAATTTCCACCTCATGTCATGGGAACAAATAAATTCATGAAAACTTTGTTTAAGTTTTGTAGTGGAATTAACAGTTCAGTGTTTTGAAGGATTTAGCTTAAAACCATTTAAAAATTATCAGTAACTGATTTCTGAGGAATGGTTATTCATTTTGGGACAGCGATACTCGTCAAATGGTATTAGGCTAAAACCTTCAAACTGTTATACCCAAATGTAACTCCACAATTCCAAACACTCGAATTTTTCAAACGCGTAAATGAGAATTTGGAAATCACTCGAATTTTTTTTTTTTTTTAGGTAGTGAAGTGTTTCCAGATGTCTGGGACTGGTTTTGTTCTATAGCATCACATCTTAATCAAGTCCTCTATACTAGATGTCTGATTAGTGGAGGGGGTGGTGTGGTTCGGTTGAAAACTCAACAGACCACCTATATGCTTTCTGTAATTCATCCGCTTATCCCTTTTTAGGAATTCAGATAAAGCAAGAACAACGTTTTCAATAGAATAATATGAAATACTTTTATTTTTCGGGTTTCTTGTCGGCTGTATACAAACTTAAAACATTTTACGTCAAGTAGATCAACAGAGAAATGTTTTAATGCACTTGCAGAGGTGACATGATGTCAGTTAATAGGAGACTTTTAAAACTACTCACACTTATATGATTTATGTACAGAAGTTTCAAGTTAGTTTTTAAAGAAATAGATGCTGTAAAAAAGGACAAGTGATGCTACTTTGGCGATAAGTAACTAATGTGCTCGGTGATAATGTGATGAATTCAACTCAAATGAACAAAACAGGAGTGAAAAACAAAAAGGACGAGGTTAAGGTGAAAAATTATGAAGTGACATTGGTTACAGCGAAACTTAAATCCTGGGAGCACTGAACAGCTGTGGGAGCTGTTGAAAAGTGGTAACCGGTGGATTTCATCAGTTTAGATGTGAGGAGAAATTATCATCGATCACATTGGTTGACAGTGTTGCTGCGCGTAGCGAGTTGGTAGAATTCAGATGATTGGATTCCATCCCAGTGTCTGAATGTTCGGAGTAGTCGCCTGACAACCTAAAGGTCCTGGGCCCACTTCCCAGTGAATTGTATGTTTGAAGAGGCTGTCCAGTGTTCCATGACTTTCAGTGGTTCTGTGGTTGATGTCAGCCAGTGATCTCACTAGAAAACTGTCGCTGCCTACCGATTAATGGAAAGCCTTTGTCCTACACTTTTTGATGGAGAAATATGGATCTTCGGGCAGGACTTCGAGGCTTCTGCGCAGTTGAGTGGCATTCAAGATCTATCAGCTATGAGGCTTCTACTTGTGACGCTGCTGGGAGGTCGGAAGAAAGCAGCATATGAAAGTGTGAGGCAAAATACGGACCAATGTGCGACAGGGCCAGGCAAACAGTTTCCAAAGTGGGAAGGACCACATACAGTTACTTTGAGATGGGATTATGCAGACAAAATCGCAATGATAAACAAAGAGAAACAAGTGAATTTCAGCGAACACCGCGATTCTAGACAGCAAGACAAAGGAACAAAGCCCCTAGAACTAAGAAGACCAAACCAACTTCAGTCGCAAGTCTTTGACGGGGGGACGAGTGTGGTGGGAGCTGGCTGTTAGCCAAAATTGTTTGACAGTAATTTGCGTCAATGTTTATGTTTCCAATATTGGACGTGAGAAGATCGACAACGAAGGCTTTGCGTAGGCGGATACAGTTAACATATAGATGATCTGTTGCCTGACTCTTGTCTTCTGTCGTTACAACTGTGCTTTACCTAAAGATACTGCTATATGTTCTTCGGCACTCAGTGAAAATCAAGCCCCAGAAATCTCGTATCATTTAGAGTGACTTTCAGCTCAACATGCTGCAGAATGTGCCGACACTGAAATACTTTAACCGGTGCCTTTCTGATAACAAATCATCTCCAATTCATTCCACAGTTGTTTTTTATTTTCAAGCAAAAAAGTAAACATAACACTTGAAATTAGTGCCTTCTATTTATTTTACAACTCAGTTTGTAAGAACTCGTTGTTCTCCACTTACCGAGATAAACGTCCCGCACTGGTGCGTGATTAAAATCAGTCATCCCAGTAAATTGACCAGAAACCATATGATTGTCAACAAATAATGTAGCTCCGTGTTTGTTCCTAGAAATTAAAAAAAAGTGCTGTCATTTTCATGAAAATGTTAAGCTAAACAAAATGATACTACTTATCCTTAGATCAGTAGCTGCAGTCTTTCAGGTAAAATTTAGTGTTACACTACTTACATTACCATCCAGAACAGAGAGCATCGAGATACTACAGAATAGTATCCCTCTAACTGTAGTATTTAATAATTTGCTTCTGACTGTAGTTACACTTGTTGTTTAACAACCAAAATCTAAGACTTGTGAAATTTTTCTAAGGAAATACACATTAGAAATGTTGGTTGTTACATTTGTGACTGGTTTGGACCAGGTGGCCTAATATCGTGCTGCTGATGTTTTTCACTACATCTTTATTTAGCCACACTGGTAGGTGTTCCCGAGCACAAAAAATCGAGTTCCACAAAGCTGGCATTGAAGAATCCTGCTCCATCATCTATCGGTTACTCAAGAATCGCCAAAAGCTTCCAGGTATCGAAGAGTCCAAACAACAGAAGCTACTACGATCCGCCTAAAACAACCGGTGCTCTGAGTGCAGAAAAAACAGTTCTAACCACTATTACTGCTCTGGCCTTCTGTGTAGCCCATAAATTTATGAATTCTTTATTATTGCTTTTTATAATTTGTCTGTTATTTACTGTGGTGTTATGTTGATGAATATTATCACGCTACTATACAGATCAGAGACTTGGCGCGTCAAAAGTAGCACTTAAAACAAACTACAGACCTTCATTAACATCTGTCAAGATCTCAAGATCAGATGGCTGGCCAGAAAAGACCAGAAACAGGGATCTCTGGGAGCGAACCAACCAGGAACCGATTGTGAAACAAATAGGCAGGAAGAAATGGAGATGGATTGGCCATACACTGAGAAAACCACCAAGTGACATCACTAGACAAGTCATTGCTCGAGTGGAACCCGAAAGGGAAGCGGCGAGTTGGTCGTCAGTGCAAAGGTGACTTGGAGGTCATGTGAGGAGGAGATGAAAGCATGTGGGCAGACTTGGAGTGGGGTGAAAAAGTTGGCAGGAAACCGAAGGCGATAGAGACGCGCAGCTGAAACCCTATGTTCCTCTAGGAATTAAAGGATATAATAACATAATAATAATAATAATAATAATCGCGCTCACAGATGTTACTGAACTATTTTTTTACCCTTCACGTTCCCCGGTGGAATATAGGGCTCCAAGCTAGTGACTTGAAGTTTCTGTAGCAGTGTTTAATTTTACAGGATGGGGTTGCTAGCCTCATGCCCAACCTTTCCTCTTTACTAGCATTATTTCTGGCTTAGCGAAGTAAAGGAGTGCGTATGTGGCCGGGGATCGAACTCCGGACCATGTGCATGGTGGGCGAGTATCCTAACCGCTGTGCCACGGACGCACATCTACTGGACTATAATCCATTGTTATTATGGATACAATGTTATTAAAGCATTAATGTTGTTAATATCCCTAAATCTTTCATTATTATGAGTATATAACTGTAGAACTTGATGAAAACGTTATCGAAAAGAATATTGTTTTTTCAGTAATCAGATCCCTGAAATTTCTTATGATAATTCTCGATCGTTTGAAGTACACAATACCTTCTGATAGTAAACGATAGCAGAGAGGTATTTGAATTGTGAGGATCAACCCATTCGGAAATAGAGGTAGTACAACTCAAGTGAGATACATATAATTTACTATAGACAAGAAGATCAACAGTCTGAACATTTGACTTTCAATCAGTGGATCAAAGTTTCATATTTCGCTCAACCTAATCATATATGAACGGTAAGGTAATGAAATTACTCTTCCCATAATAGACATTTTCCAGTACCTGACATGTAGATTTATAGTTACACTTAAGCCGTATAACTTCAACAAATAATATCAGAATTTATAAAAGTTATTCATAATGAATGAAGAATATTTGCTATTCGCTAACCCCATCGCTTGTATCATATGCCATTCACCATCATTGACTTTATGTCTTCCTTGGATAGGCATAAGTCGACTGAATTCTGAATGTTCCAGGGTTCCGCCAACATTAGTGTTAATACCATTATCCTTGTCACCGTTATTATGATTGTTTCGTAATTTAACTTTTTCATTATTTCTTGATGAAATTAAATTGAGCAACAGTTCAATACGTCCATTACGTAGTACAAGTGAAACAAATTCTGATCTCGTTGTAATCTGTGTTACTGCCTGATTGAAAGATAAGACTGATGATGATGACGATGTTTCGTCTTCAAAATCACTAGGCGTTGGTTGTTCAACCATCAATAGAATTAATCCGTCCGTTTTGTCTGTACGTAAGCGAAGACGAATATTGAAATCTGACCTTGAAAACATGAATAGGCGATGAACATTTAAACAAGGGATTTATAATTAGGTATTACAAATTAATTTAAATCGGCTTAAGTAAAATTCTTAGTTGAGAAGCATATATGAGATGTGCATATATGTATCTATTGTTGACAAGAAACTGTCACAAGAACGCAAATCCTTTTTCCTTTGATCTGAGTTGTGTACAGAGTAGCGGGCTTTTATCAGTTGCAAAGACACAGATACATTAACATACTCTAGCTCGTTGAATATTTTAGTGTTGAAAAAATAATTCACATCCATCGATCAGAATGTTGGCTTGTTATTTAAACTTTTGTTGCGCTTTGAAGACAGAGGCGGTGAAGATAACCAACCAACCAACAGAAGTTGCAACAAGCACCAATCTCTATCAACGGAATAAATTTGAATGAGATCATTTCTTGGACTTATCTAGGAGGCATCGTTTCAACTACAGACATGCATGATACTGTCAAAACGAGAATCAAAAAAGCAAGACAGAAATTCAAAACTCTGATATCATTCTGGAAGTCTAGTGCCCTTCGCAGCTTAAACGACAAAATTTGGATTTTCAATACCACTTCTAAGTCAGTCAGTATTTCTGTGTTTGAAACCTGGCGAACACGTCACGAGAAGCAATCCCAACAGCCTGCTGCAAACTTCTGTCCACAGATGCCTCCTCTGGCTCCGTACCAGCGAACAGATGGCAGGTCAGCCAAAGGGAATTATCAAAAAGAAACTCTCACAATGAACCAAACAATAATGCGTTGCCCATAAAATATTCCGAATAAAATGGAGATGAATAGGACATACTCCGAGGAGGTCGTCAGGTGACATCATGTGCCAGGTCATAGCTCGATTGGAACGCGAATGGGAAACGACGAACTGGGTATGTGTCCGAGTGTAACGTGGAGGTAATCATGTGAGGAGGAGATGAGAGGTTATGGGGAGTCGTGGGACTAGATTAAGAGGATCGCGAGGAATAGGACAAATAGGAGATATACTGTTGAAGCCCGATTAATTGGTACTGTTTCAGATTGATGACAGAATTACGGAAATATTAATTAGGATTTCTTTAATTAGAATAGTAGTTTTCTTCCATTATTGTTTCTAACTGTCTTACTATTCGTGTTTTTGCCTCTATTGTCGGTAAATTACTAAGTTAGTTTATCTGTTGCCTTTCGTCTAGCCTTTGATTTCATTGTGCTACTGCATAACACATTAGTCATTAGGTAATAAGCCTTATGTCTTGTAGGATGGCTAGTAACAGTGATTTGCTGTCAATGGGTCTACACATGCATGAAGACTTAAGCTTATATCTAGCTAGCTGAAAGGAAAATGTGTAGATCAATAAACCACAAATCCAGTTCACTGACAGATTAAAAGGTGGGGGGGGTGAAATCAGTTATTAGGTTTCCATGTTACTTCAAATGCTCTCCTATCATATCATGCCAGGATACTGAAATTTACACACACCTGATTTGCTAGAATTATTCAAATTGTTTAGGAAGACGAAATTGGGAGTCGTAGAATCACTTCTATAGCTCAGAGTCAATGCCATATGTATTGTCAGATTTGTCGATTGAGGATAGAAGACTTCAAACCTATATTTATCCTTTTCAGTTAGTTTTCTGCGCTTGTCCAAACGATTCTCCAGTGAATCAGTTGAGGGCGTTGACATCAATTCTTCTGAGAGTCAGTTCCAGGAGAAAACTCTACCACCCAGTCACGACATGAAACTAATGTCTCTTTTGAGATTTGAACGCGTATCACTGAGTGTTGCAGTCAGATAAGTTACCACTGAGTGATTAGGGCTCATTGGAAGTGCTATGTGACTTGAACTTTTATAAATGTGAGCATACTTAAACACGGCTCATTCTGAGTTTGACTGTCACAAATCACTTTTGAATTCAGATACCTTAGTGACTACCTGTCTATCCAAATGACTACCAGACATTTGTATTAATGTATACTGCTCACCTACAACTTATTGGTCCATGACCTCTTTAATCTGAACTATTTGAGTTATTTTAGAAACGGTATCTAAATTGGAGCTAGTAGGATTCCTTATGACAGGGTCAATAAACTACTACGCAGTGAGGCTTGGGGAAATCAGTAGAAAGCCATGTGGCTGAATGGTATACGAGCTTGCCTTGTAACCGGAAGGTCCTGGGTTCGAACCCCAGTGGGTGCGTTAGCTACTCATCAATGAGGCCTATCTACAACAGCGTAAAATATGTTGTTTCCTCATAGATTCACGTCTGCACAAGAATACAAACTAAGTATGTGGTCTTTAATAGGTCCTACTAATTAACTGACGTAAAAACTGAATGAACTAGGAGAGAATCGTCAAGAATAAAAGTGAAATCTAGGCTGTAGAATTTGTGGGGAGATGGATTATCTAAATTCCCGTTGTTTGATTTCACCATTTAGAGGTCACTGAAAATCAAGAACCTCTGGACGGGTTAAAACAATCCAAATTCCTGGAAATCCCATAATGGAAATACTAACCTTCACTACACTGATGGCTGCCAGACAGATATCCTGCAGATGCAGCAAGAAGTTGTCGAAAGTGGCGTCCACGTTGTCAAGAGGAATTGGGTGCTCATAGATAGCATTGGCTCAGGCTAGTGTTCTATTACGAACTGACAAAAGTTAGAATTCATGAATCCTTCACTTCTGGCCTAAGTGGCTGAATGATCGACGAGCTTGGTCTCTTGTGCTCGGTCTTTGATGGGATTGTGGATGCATACTGATGAAGAGTCCCAAACTAGGGCGAAACAACTGCCCAGCACTTCTAGGTTTTCATTGGAATCTCACTGATACTGCCTTATGACCAAATCTAACAGTTGAAAAATAGAGTCTCCAGATAAGAATGCTCCCTTAGTTGGTAAATATCGGCAGGATGAGATAGAGTTTCTGGTTCTTTGATTGAGTACACATACTGTTGAATTTTTAGTTCTTATTATTTAGCATTTGTTATGAATAAAACACATTTTAATTAATAATGAAGACGATTATTTAATTCGTCAATACTTCTCATAATATTATTATTCCCTTGGGTTCCGAGTGGAACAGAGGGCTTCAACAACACATCTCCACCTTGTTCTATCCCCTGCTATCCTCTTCAGCTGGCTCGACGATTCACCATAATCTCTCATCTCCTCCTCGTCGTCACACGACCTCCTCTATATCATCCTCACACCGACGACCCACTTGTCGCTTCCCACTCAAATTCAACTGGAGCGATGGTTCGAACTGCGCCCAATGCCATTCGACAGCCTCCTCAAAGTAGGCATGATCCATCTTCATTTTTTCCTACATATTTGCTGAGTAGTTGCCTCTTGGTTGGTTCTTTCCCAGACAGAGTTTCTCGTTGTTATTTCTTGCAGGTTGGCTGACCACTTGATCTTCAGTGTGGCGTCAGAGAAGGAAGCAGCTGTTGATAAAAGTCTGTAACTTGTTGGAAATGCTTTTCGTGACAGGCAGTGCAATTTTCTGACCTGTATAGAAGGACTGACTGACTGACTGACTTCACATATGTGTTAGAAACCGGAATCTTGTTGCTTATGCTGAGGCTAAGTGAAGCAGAAGATTTCCAAACTGGTTTCAGGTTGATGAAGGCGTATCTTATCTTCCGAATTTTGACTGGCTTTCACATCCTCATTCGTTCCAACTGCCGGTGGTTGAAACTATGCTTTCTAGATAAGTGAAGGAAGTAACCTCTGACAAACCTCTCCAGTTGATGGTAGTTGGTGCTGGTTGTTGCTTTTGCTTTTAGTTGGTCACCTTCATCACCTCCATCTTCTCTATGTTCATTTGAAGTCCTGTCTTCCTTGCCTGCTTCTTCAGCCAGTTTGTTACTTTTCGCCTGTATATCTTTGAGTCTTTGTGTGATGAAAGGTATATATCACCTCCTAAATCCATATCTTCTAGAATTCTGCAACAATAAGGAAACAAATATATTTCTGTAGATTTCTGATACAGTATTAATAACTACATCACTTTGTGTCATATCAGATAAACTTATCTAATATACGATTACATTCTACCACAGTGTTACCCAGTTCTAGGCCTTCAAGACGAATAATTCAATGACTGGTTCATTCTAGCTCTGTTGTGGTGATTTTCTTGGTTTTCTTATGTGTATTACTTAAGCAATTATGATTTAAACCAAAGTTCTTATTACTTACGTGAATCTTATTAGTCCACTATATTTATAAACTGTTGAACCACTGAAATTGATGAAAATCTTTTCAACTTCATCATAATTTGATGGTGGCACTTCTTCATTAAATTCATTGAATGATTCACCAATAAAAGTTCCACGATTCGGTCCATCATATTGTAGTTGACCATCATTTTTAAATGTTAATCCAGAGTTTGTATTAGACATTTCCATCTTGAATTAATAAACAAACAAATGAATTATATATAAGGCATTACTTTAGCCTCTTGAAATTAGAAAATATCGACAGAGGCCGACTGATGCAGTCACGTGAAAGAAAAACAAATATGAGGAATTCTAAAATTGTATGGTGGTATGTGAAGCTTTGACTATTTGATCTGACGCTAATATTGAAACCCCATGATGACAGGTTCAAACCCACAACACCTAGTGAGGTTAAGATAGCCAGGTAGTTTCACTGTCTCTAAAAGAATGTAACTCATTGCTTAATACACGAGAATGCAAGTGGTTGTTCAGTAGCATTTCAATTCACAGTACTGTATATCATCATATTGTTCCACCTAGTTTCTTGGTGGCAATTTATTGTACTTAGGAGATCACATTTTGTGATCTGAATATTTTGGATTCCCAAAGCAAACTTTAATTAATTTTCACCTCACACTGTGCAATTCGCAAATTAGGAGTTTTAGGAAATTCGAAAGGTTCAGAAAATAACAATCCATATCATATCGTACCATTTCAGATAGCCATTTCTGTTTTCAGTTGAGTGACTTAGGTGATAGATTTTTTGGTGGAATCATAGCATAGCCAGTAGCATTCATAAGCATCAGTAGACGTCACCAGGAAATTTATTGTGAGATTTTATGAGATTTTACGTTTCACTGCTAAATATCTTCTGTGTATTCAATAAAAGTTCAGTGATGAGGCAGTTCAACTAATGTTTAGTTTGATTTGTTCAATGTAAGCTTAATAAACAGTGAGATGGTTTCATTTACAGAGTGATTAGTAGTCACACAAAAACTACTTCATAGCATTGTGAAGCTTGCTTTTTGTGTTTCTCATCCTTTATTTCTCGTGCTTAGAGTAATTTTATTCATCCTCACCAGGGACGGAGGCCAGGATTTTAGGTTACGATGTAAGCTGGTTAACTGGTGAGTAATGCTGAAGAGTCCGTTCACATGTAATCTCTTTGTATACAAGTTTACGTGCATCTCTGGTAATAGTGACATTGGGAGAACAGAAACAAGGACACAGCTACGATTCTCTAAACATATACCAAAACGCCTACCTCACACTTACAATAATGCCATTTCCAGATATCAACACGAGTCATAAGGTAAACACACTGAAATCCTTTAGAATTATCAATAGATGATTTGGGTGAATTCTCCTCAAATTTGCCTAAGCTGTTGCTAATAGACGATTGAAACTCGACTTTTGTATTCAGCTATGAGTCTCCTTTTACCTTGGTAACCGGATGTCTCCATTCTCTCTTTCATTTGATTGCGCAACCATTGCTTTTAACCTCTCTCCCCTTAGGTATAGTGTAACTTAGCTTGCTTCTGTGATTTGAGTTCAACTCACTATGTTGTTACACCGTTTATTTGTTATACACCATCTTAATCACCTTTTATCTTTATTACGCAATCCCCTAACCACTGTATCAAAACATTTATTTTTTTAAACTAGAACCCTGTGGGTATAAACTGCATAAGTATAATTTTCTGAGCACAGTTTATTAAATTTGGAGCCTCTTGTCAAGTGACATCATGCAACATTTGCAAGTATGTTAAAAATTGTTCTCTGCATGAGCTTAATAATTTTTTACATGATTTCATCATGAACTGACATTAGTTAGAGAACCACTGGAAAACCCTGGAAGTACTGGACAGCTGTTTCCCCTGTCCTAGTTCGCGGCTCTTCAGCAGTTCGCATCCAAAGCTAGGGTTCAAACCCAGGACTTTCTGGTTACAGGGCGAGCTCGTATAACATTAAGCCACTGAGACCCGATCCAATGGCCCATGAATTCTAACTTCTGCCAATAATGTTTCAGACTCTACGCAGCTGATGAAAATCCAGCGAAATAAACGACAGTAACAACATATTCTGCAGAAACCATTGTTCTTGCTTTGTTCAAATTCATAAAGAAGAATGATTATATTTCAGGACTACAAAGGGACGACTGTCTGGTATTCCCTCGCATGCAATGGTTCTTTTTGGCTAACAAGTACTGAAATTCTCATGAAAATTGGTATTTGATCACATGGTTACATTGTCAAAATCTACATGAAAATGGTGATCGGTATCTGAAATTAGATCTTATGCACATCTAACTGATATTGAAGCTTACAATTATGACAATACTGAATAACTTACTTTACGCTGAAGACATGCTTGTTTTTCAACTTCATCGATTTGTTCATCTAATCTCCCTTTCATCATATGCATCAGCTGTAGCGGTGTTGTACATGCACATGTAGCACGTTGTATATTTGGACGGCATATATTATCTGGTTGGTCTAATTGACAAGGTGAATAGTCTGGACCACATGGTAAGCCTTGCCATTGTGATGTATTTGCCCATTTTTCAATTAGATGAGATGATCTACTCAACTCTTCGGGTGTATTTGTCATATCTGCGGGAGATGGTCCGGCTAATACAACCTCAGCACCATTTATATTGATCTGTAGGTAATTAATTGAAAGTGGAAGAAATACATTAGGAAAGAGGAGTAGTTTGAAACGAATAAAAATAATTTCGTCGCAGTTAGACAATTGATGAGAAACAGGTGTGTTCTGAAACAGAGTTGCTGCTACTGACATTGGATGGTTGAAATTAATCAGTAAGAAGCTCTGAATTTCGTCATCGATATATGTTCTACCAGAGACCATCCACACGTGGGTGTGTCTCTGACTGAGTTACTATACGACCCTAACTAGAATTTCTGGGAAGACCTTGGTCTTATTAGATTTTCAGATATTTCTTTCCTGTAGTGTTAATTTAGCACGAGACCTGGCTTTGTGACGCTTTGTCGATTATTTCCGCGTATTCATCATCAGCCTGTATTGCAGACCGATGATAAGTCTTCCAGGACAATGACAACTAAAGAGTGCATATAAAACATAACAGTAGTTACTCTTTAATGACCTAAGTTATTGCTAGTGACTGGGATAAATTTGACTTTGGTCTCTTTTTAAGTCAATCTCAGTTAAAAAAATAATAAAAGGCAGAAGTTACTAAATAATAACTGTCCTTCCTTAGTTTGAGATTATGAACCGACTTTATGTGTACTCAAGCATAGAACGTCTGCTCGTCTTTCGGCAAGATTGACACCACGAAGCCACTGAAATAAAATTTAGGAGTGCCTGCCTTATAACTCTTATTACTTATGCACAGACTTTATTAGTGAGGAGTGGTACTGGTTAGATAACTGGTCAGGAACTGGAGGGAAGTACGACAATAGGTAATAATAGATTTCTGTAAGCTCAAGTCGTAAAAAATATGACTCGATAATGGACATCAGATATTAATTACGGTAACATGTTTTCAGACTTAGATCAGTGTCACAAAGTCGACAGTTTCGTTGATTGCTATCACCACTACCTATAAGTTTAGGGTGTAAGGTGTTCCCTGAGTAGTTAAATGTCAGGTTCTGTGTATCAAGTACTCAGAAATACAGGTCAGAATCTACAGGCCTCTCATTGTTATTCAAAAGAAACGTCGGACACCACAATTCAGTGTTTTTCACAAACTTGGCTGATCCATTTTGAATAGAATTAAAGAATAACAACTTTATCAGTAACTGGGGCGGGTAATGCTGAAGAGCACCGGACTGAAACGAAGCAATTGTTTAGTGATCATAAATTTCTGACGAAATCAATCTGACTTGAAATCAATCAGATCCCCAAAAATTTATCGTCCGAAGATGAATTACCATTAGTCAATAAGGCTGACTTTGTTATTCATAATTATTAAAAACTACCTGTTTGACAAACAACATTTACTATTATTGCACTTAACCTATCATCAGTCAGCTTTTCTATATACACCAGAAACGTGGCAAACGCCCCGCGAAAAGCAATCCCAACAACCACCTACAGACTTCTGTCCACATTTGCTTCCTCTAGCTCCATACTGAAGAATAGATGGCCGGCCGGTCAAAGGGAATTATCAAAAAGAAACTCTCACAATGAACCAAACAATAATGTGTTGCTCAAGAAATATTCCGAAGAAAGTGGAGATGAACAGGACATATTCTGAGGAGGTCTTCCGGTGACATCGTGTGCCAGACCATAGCTCGATTGGGACCCGAATGGGAAAAGAACTAGATGTGTGTCCGAGTATGACATGGAGGAGATCACGTGAGGAATAGACGAAAGACTATGGGGGTCGTGGAGCCAGATTAAGAGGACCATGGAGAACAGAAAAAAGTGTAGACGTGCTGCTGAACACTATGTTCCACTTGAAACCCAGCACAGTAATGATGATTAACCCTTATCGTTACCATAAAAATAGGAAAAATGACTTACCCTCTGAATAGCTCCTTCTAAACCTTGTCTAACAGGAAGAAAACTGAATGTTGCTTGATCACGAAAGTCATAACCACCAAGATAAATTGGACTTGATGACAAATCGAAGTTACTTAACTAATAAAATAAATGAAAATGTAAATACATAAACAATTTGTAATTATGAAAGTATTTACCGTTGACAAATAAACAATCTTAGTTGATATATATATATATATATATATATATATATATATATATATATATATATATATATACAATGGGCTCTTTTAAAGTGATTCAAAATTTTCCTAAAGGGTTTCGCTTACATTGTTTAAAAATAATTGAATCATTGTCAAGTTCAAACTCTGTATGATTTATACGTTGCCTAGTTGTAATATATTTTCTATTTTTACTGTTTTATACTTATAGTAACTTATTTTCAAACTTATTATTATTGTTTCCTTTAGTTCCCAGAGGAACATAGGACTACAGTCGCGCCTCTCCATGGCGTTTGGTTCTCTGATGACGTTTTCATCTGGCTTTATATCTGCCCATATGCTTTTATCTCCTTTTCGCATAATCGCCTCCATGTCACCCTCACACTGACGACCAACTCACCGCTTCCCATTCGGGTTCCGCTTGACAGATGTCCTGGCATGTGATGTCACTTCATCGTCTTCGCAGAGTGTTTCCAATCCACCTCGATTTCTCCCTGCTTATTTGTTGCACAATCAATTCCTGGTTGGTTCGCTCATTGCCAGAGATCCCTCCCTGTCGCTGATCTTCTCTGGCCGGTCATCTGATCTTTAGTAGTACTGAGCGAAGACAGCTGTTGATGAAGGTCTGTGGTTTGTTCGAAGTGCCCTTCGTGACGCGGCACCAAGTCTCTAATCAGTATAGCAGCACTGACTTCACATCGGAGTTGAAAATCCGGATGTTATTTCTCATGCTGGGTGTTGTTGATCTCCACACAAACTTAGAGTAGTGAAAGCTTACCTTGCCTTCTCGATGCTCGTTTTGATATCCTCGTCAGTTCCGTTCGCCCGGTGTCAGTAGGTAAAGAAGGTTGCTTCTTTCAGATAATTATTCCAAATATAAGTGTTGACTTTATCCGTATTCTCCTGTGTAATTTCTTATAATATAAACTGACATTTTATTTTTCGAATATTCCACCAGTATTTTGAAGTTTCTTCTTTTTCAAATGAATGAAAAGTGTAAGAACTGTAACGAACTAAGTGTTTGGAAAATCCCTCCCAGACTGCCTAATTACAATGTTTGCACTCATTTTTATGTTGCAACTAACTCAGTAATTATTTTCCGTTTCTCGCCTAGCCTATATATCATTATTTTGATATTTGCTTACCGTGTTTTGACCAAATCCTCACTATTTGTCTTTGTCCCTGTTTAATCTTCAATTCGAATTCTTCTCTTTGTGGTTGTGTGATTCATTAATAATGTCTTTGTTTCACGATGGAAGTGGATCAAAGTAATTCTGATCTTGGACTGTGTCTGCGGGAATTATTGATGTGTGATTCTTGTGGACAGAGTTTTTGATCACATCTTGTTGGGAATATTCTACTTGAATTTTGGTTAACTAATTTTGTTCTACAGTACTTGGTTTGTAGATAGAAACATATCTAGACTGTATAGCTTTCTAAGCTGGCTGTTCAGCTGATTCTGGGTTTTTGATGTTATTATTCTTGTTGAATAGAACCACACATAGATTCCAAGGAGAAACAATGGTCTTTTCGATGTCTTTACAGCGTTTTGTGACTGTGCCCTCGAGTGGAACCCGAAAGGGAGGCGGCGAGTTGGTCGTCCAAGGGTGACTTGGAGGAGGTCATGTGAAGAGGAGATGAAAGCATGTGGGCAGACCTGGAGCAGGGTGAAAAAGTTGTCAAAAAACCGAAGTCAATGGAGGTGCGCAGCTGAAGCCCTATGTTCCTCTAGGAACTAAAGGATACAATAATAATAATAATAATGCAGTAGGACTCTGAGATCAACTCCATGAGTTCAGAAAACAACTAATAGGTTTTGCTTGTAATAAAAAGACCCTCCTACCTGTTTGAGAGTGTCGTGTTTTACTGTATGAATCAATTTGCACAAGTCTTTTTACAAGCACGCGGACTACTGGACGGTATCCACGGAATAAATGTCTGCTGAGGCAAAAATTTAACCTTCATGAAGTTCAGCAAAACAATATAAAGAGTCAAGAAAAATGTTTAGAAAGCTTTTGAATTGATAGTGGGAACCTTTCCAAACGCTTCCAGTAGTATTTCTTATTGTCAAGCATTTAAATTTAATATATATGGAAAACTTGGGCACTGTGGTAGTAAGTAATTCCATATTAGTTAGTTTATTAGATGTGTCACACAGTGAAACAGTATTATTCACTGGATGACGCAGTTTCGAACAAAATTTATTGTTCATAATCATATCAATTGTAATCACACGACTTTGAAACTTGAGTTTTATAGTTTTCTTTGTCTTCTCCTGTTTGTCGTAGGGGTAGTAGAATTTCCCAGATATCAGGATTTAAATTTAACTTGGCACATTATTTACAGTGTTCAACTCTGTCTTATCAGACTTCTGGGCTTGTCACACAATGTTTCACTTTATATACTAACTTATATAGTTTTGCCCCGCTTTATATATTTGACAAACTATTTCATTTATTCCATTAACAACTTTCTCGTTTGGTGTTCAATCACAAATGTGATCACAAATATTTTCTCACAGTCAACATTGTTTTTATCCTTAGTATTATTATTAACAGTATAAGAATTCACCAGAATCGGAAAGACGAGATACGCCTTCATCAACCTGAAACCAGTTTGGAAATCTTCTGCTTCACTTAGCCTCGGCATAAGCAACAAGATTCCGGTTTCTAACACATATGTGAAGTCAGTCAGTCAGTCAGTCCTTCTATACAGGTCAGAAAATTGCACTGCCTGTCACGGAAAGCATTTCCAACAAGTTACAGACTTTTATCAACAGCTGCTTCCTTCTCTGACGCCACACTGAAGATCAAATGGTCAGCCGACCTGCAAGAAATAACAACGAGAAACTCTGTCTGGGAAAGAACCGACCAAGAGGCAACTACTCAGAAAATATGCAGGAAAACATGAAGATGGATCATGCCTACTTTGAGGAGGCTGTCGAATGGCATTGGGCGCAGTTCGAACCATTGCTCGAGTTGAATTCGAGTGGGAAGCGACAAGTGGGTCGTCGGTGTGAGGATGACATAGAGGAGGTCGTGTGACGAGGAGGAGATGAGAGATTATGATGAATCGTCGAGCCAGCTGAAGAGGATAGCAGGGGATAGAACGAGGTGGAGATGTGTTGTTGAAGCCATATGTTCCACTCAGAGTCGAGTGGAATAATGGTAATAATGAGAATTCACACCTGCTGTGTAAACGTCTTCAAGGAATATAATTTTGTAAAAATTATGTATACATATACGACTGAATAGCTTGATAATAAACTGGTTGGAAAGAGTCTCCTCGTTGAATATTGCTCTTTTACTGTAAAGATCTTTATTTAAAGATATAATGAATGAAACTCTAAAGGTAGCTTAATTCTTATAGATTTCGAACTAGTAGCCCTTCGCTTACTAATCAGCATTAACAGAGCAACTTTAAAATTAGTTGAAGAGACCCAGTTGATTTAAATTTGTAACAGATAAGGTAGGTATTCTCATTCAAACATTTTCATTTTACAGTAAAATTATACGAATCTGTTCTCGTTATTAATGACATACCTCTTTCGGGAGACGACTTTGTGCATGGAGAAACTGTGAAGGAATCTAAAATATCAAAGCGATATAATAAAAAAATATTCAGCTTTAGTTTTGAGGTAAGCTTAATTTACATCATATAGAAAACTCTGCTGACTTTCATATGAAATCTCAAGAATACTGAAATGTTACATGATGTCATTGGAAGTAATTTGGTAGACCGTGACTAGCAATGGAATCCAGGAGCCTCATTCCGTCCTATCTGAGACTATTCACCTGGATGTATCTTCATCCCTGAGTGAGTAATGGTGTTCCAGTTGTCACTCAAACGAATACCTTATGTTTCAAATACCAAAGCGTTGTTCTCTAGACGACGTATGTCAAGAGAGTCTCCTCTAATGAAATGGGCATCAGTTTGTATTTAAAGAAACTCAGTCTTCATCATACTGTTGATTCACCGGACCAAAATGTTCGGCCTTTTTTCACGTCATCTGAATAAATGTTGATTAATTGGTGAAATTTCAAACTGACAATAGTTCGAAATGTCGAGTGTCACTCGATAATGACTGCTGAAGAAGATATGTATGAGAAAGCGTAGTTTGTATGGTCGAGTACTAAGTGGCAATCGGAGTGGTACCTCATGGAATCCGTCTATCTTGATGGTTCAGATGCAATCAGATCTAGTTTTCAACTATATTTTAGTATCATATTCTTTTATTTACATGGTGTATTCCGTTTCGTATTGTTTTTCTTTCCATTGTATTTGTTTTTGTTACATGCCAGATGAATTAACCTGATGTGCGTCAAACTGGACCCCTAGTTAGTATGCTTTTACAAAACATGATGTCTCTGGTCACGTCCGAGATTAAACAGATTTCAACGGTCTTCGTATTACACGACAATTGTCGCTTTGCTAAGTTCGGCATCATTAGCCTCTTTATGACTTCATAAACAGCATATTATTATATGCCTTGTAGCATCTTGTTTCATTCTGATATTAAGCGAGTTGAAATTCTTCAGAAATCGATATCAACCAGCAGGAGCTGCCTAGTGATTGTGATTTATAAGAGGACGTTTCTGAGAAGATCAAAGCCTGCAGGCAGTCCTATAACCAGCTAAAGAGGACTTCAGAGTAAAGGATGGAATGTGGATGTCCTGTTGAAGCCCGATGCTGCACTCGAAACCATAGGGAATAATAATAACAACACGTTTCTTCAGACCAGAAGGATGGCTGTGTGCAAACTCGAGTTTAAAAAAATCATGGGAGAAGCTGAACATTTATAAGTCGGAATTTAACTGCTATTTGTTTTTAAATTCCCCTTAACTACACCCTGAATTAAAGGAACTTCATAGGCGACCTTTCTTGATCTAGTGCTCGTGTTTGTTAAACTGGTATCAGAGCAGTAGCTAAATAGAATTTTCCTGAGGATAAAAAAATACTGAAATGAACTCTGCCGGGTTACTTCAATTCTCAGTTGGCAAAATATGCTACACAATACTTCCGACTTCTTGATAAGTACAAAAGTTACTTGTGTGCACTTTTAACCATCACAAAAGATAAACAAAAGGAACCATTGGAAGTACTGGATAGCATGAAAATTAACCAGCTGCTAGGTATTAACCGACTACGCAGTGGGCTTCCAGGCGTTGGGATGAGAAGTCATGGTTGGTGCCGTCCACCAATATTGTGTTTGTGTACAGATATTCACTGATGGCAGTCACCGGATGAGATTGACGTCATACAGTATGAACTGATATGAGTTAAAGGTCAGCGGATTCTAAACCGGCGGCTGAGTGGTCAGCGAGCTGTTTAATAACCTGGAGCTCCTCCGTTTGATTCCTAATGGGATCATGTATGCGCATTAGTGAAGATCCCAAAATTAGGAGAGTACATCCCTTCAGTGGACTGTTCAACTGTATCCTGAATATCATCAGTTTATGATGAAGTCTAATTTAGAATCAATCAAATCCTCATAAAGCAACAGCTGAAGACAAATAACCGCAGTCTATCCTTCTATGCAATTAAAATAAAATAATCAATAATAAAAGGATCATTAATTAATATCTCATACTGTATAATTCTTCTGGTCTTTAGAAATTATGAAATGAAGAGAATTCAGACAACTTTAATGAAATACCACTGAAAAAGAAATTTCAACCGATTGCGAAATTATGTCCCCAATAAATCTTACTCAAAGAGCAGTCGAGCCAAAAGTGAACAAGGAAAAGTTGGAAGTTATGTATTTCACATTCAGCAAGTTGTGAAAAGGAAAGAAATTACACAGAATAAATGTAAAATAGTGCTGCAATTTTACCACTTCAAAGGCATATACTTTTTTCATCGGTAGGATTTTGACTGTTAGAGTCTGAAGTTGTTTTGGAGAAACTTTTCAACGTCATTGCTGTCAGGAAACAGTCTGCCTTGTTATCATTTTTTCTGTTATTCATGACATACAAGGCTGTTTCACTAAGTGTCATATTCCTGGAGACTAGAAGCTGTGCATTTCGGATTTCTGAATAACTGGCCACTGAATTCGGAGATTATTGTGTAAAAATCATGTATTGATAAAACTGCACCTCTACGAATCATCATCGAACATATCATAGAATGACAGTCAACTTCGTCGTCTTTGAAAAGGTCATCGACGAAGTTGTCCACGAAGTAATTTGGAAACTACTTCAACATCAAGGGGTGCAGTTCCACAAGTCTTTACCAACCTCATTCAACAGCTAGCTATATGACGATGCCATGTGATCCACAATGGATAGCTCAGCGAGGCGTTCAAAATACATACAGGAGTAAGACGAAAATACCTATTATCATCGATGATATTCCCACTTGTGATGGACTGGATTATGCGTCAGACTGTGAGTATGGAGAGATAAGATAAGAATACGTTGGACCGATGAGAAGACTTTAGAAGATCTGCATTTCGTGGATGACTTATGCCTTGAGTCACAAAAATTGAAAACTTATAGATGAAAACCAATAGACCCTCAGAAGACGCAGACAGCAAAAACAGGACTTCAAGTGATTATAGAAAAGACGGAGGTGATGAAGACGGTCAACCAGCCAACAACAACAAATGCCAACCACAGTCAGTAGAAGAAACTTTAGAAGTTGCTTCCTTCACTTATCTAGGAAGCATCGTTTCAACCACATGCGGAACGGATGAAGATATCAAAGCCGGAATCAGAAAGTCAAGAGAAACCTTCATCACTCTGAAAGCAGTTCAAAGGTATTCTGAACCTAGCACAAAGAACGAAATTTTGATTTCCAACACTAATGTTAAGTCAGTCAGTCCTTCCATATGGTCAGGAGCTAAGCAAACACCTCACGAAAAGAGTTTCTAGCAGGCTACTGAGGACTTTTATGAATACTTTTCCTTGCCAGCTTCATATCGACGATTAAATAGCTGGCCAGAATAATCAGCAGCAAGAAACTCTAAAAGCAAACCATTCAAGAACCTACTGATCAGTAAATACGTAGCAGAAGGTGGAAATAGATTGAACACAAACTGTGGTGGTCGTCGGTTGACAACACGATCCATATCATAGCTCGAGTGAATAAACAATGGAAGACGAAAAGTTAGGCTCTGATCCGAGTGTGATATAAAGGAGGTCCTATAAGGAAGAAATCAGGGCTTACGGGTGATTGTGCGGCCAGCTAAAGAAAACTGCAAAGAATAGGGCAAAAAAGAAGGCGTGCTGTTGAAGCACTTTGTTTCACTTGATACCCAATGAAATTATAATAAATAATAACAAACTGAAGCTTCTGTCGTTCACAGAAACTGAAGTCATTAAGCACCCAGGGTAAATGCTCATTGTTAATCTATATCACGAAGAAAATTTTTCATTTGCAAATTGAACAGTTTCAGGTGGAAATACTTCATAGTTGTCTTGGGAGCCGAACAATATTCACATCACAGTATATAGTCCGCTTGGTACAAACTAGGATAAAACAGCTGTCCAGTAATCCCAATGGTTCTCTAACTGATGTCAGTTCATGATGAAATTCTCCAACCAATGGGACAATAACTGACAATCAAAACATATACACATTTACTAATGACCGATTGGAGTAGCAAAACATCGCTTATGTCAACGAGTTGGGCCAGATGTCCACATCAAAGTAAGCTAGACACAGAACAGTCATTTTATTTGTTTCAAACTGAGGTATTTTGATTAATGATAATTTCAACCAGTCAGACTCCGACTGATTTGATATAATTTAGGTCTTTGACTGGAATTTAATAGGACACATTGGTGACAAGCTCAGCCGTAAACCAACTCCATTGTTGTCCTGTGTTTAGATTACTTAGATCTGGCTGGTAAGCCCTACTTATTGGCCTGAGTATCACTTACTACTGACAACAATCAGTAGTACTTAAAATATGTGGCTGGAAAATACTTACAGCTAAACTACAGAAAAGTGATTGGATGGTACATTTCTTGTCTTTGATGTCATTTCTCCGTGTGAATACGGATATGTTACACTGAACTTTGATGAAACATCTATTCGGTACACAGCTGATCTCAGCCGTGCTGTATGTTGTCATAGAAATTGTAACCTTTTATATGGAAACAAAGTAACTTACCAGTGGTACGCGTTGCTTCTTACTATTATCCATTTTAACACGAAGAATTTTAGGCAATTTATCAATGATTAGTGTATGCCAGTGGTGCAGTTTTACTGGTTCATTGTACTTCAGCTGAATAATATTTTCATTCCCTGAAATTTCGCCACACCAATTCGACATGTTACAGTCAAGTAGCTTTGTGAATCTAAATGAGCAGTTATGAATGGACCTTGATATGGAGATTTCGGCGGGATGGCAAACAATAAGCCTAGAAAAAGAGTGGTTAGGAAAGAAAACAGGCGAAATGAAGGAAAGCATTAATGTATATATACATATATATGTGAAGAACTCAGGCACTGTGCGAGAATGTAACCTCACACTGGTCCGTTTTTTGAGCGGATCACACACTGGTATTTTCAACATTTCAAATGGAACTACACAACTTTGAAATTTAGTTTTCACAGTGCAATTATTTTACTTACTTTGTACTGGCTAAATTAAAATTTGTCTAATTTCCAGGACAGACGTAGAGTCATTCACATTTCTAGTATTTTAGGATAATTTGATATACAAAGCTACCATTATCAATCCTTCTATTTGGTCTACTACATTCGATTTTAAGACTTTTAATTTGTTTGTGATTAGACTTTTGCTAGATTTTATGTTTAAGTAAGGAACTTGGATGGAACTCATAGAATTGTGTCTTAGATCGAAATTTCAAATTCAGTCATCAGATATACAAACAGAGAAAAGGAACACCAGTGGGATCACCTATATCAGGATTAATAGCTGAAGCCGTTATTTTTTTTATTACAGCTTGATTCCACAATGTATTTTTGGTACAGGTATGGAATTTTCAGCGTGTGATATCGGTAGCTCAAATTTTACAGGCCCACCATAGATATCAGGTGTGCGTCGGCAGAGGATCGAACCTTGGACCATGTGCATGGTCGGAAAGAGTCCTAATCACTGTGCCACCGACGCGCAGGATAGAATTAATATGCCTACCCACAATTAAACCAACAATCTGGGTGCGTTGCGTTGTTAATACATCAGTACTAATCAAAAGAAATGATTTGTAATAAACCCACAAATTAATGAATAACACATCTGAAGGCACTAAATTTATGAGAGAAGAAGAATCAGACAACAAAATTCCATTCTTAGATGTCTTAATCAAGAGAAATAACACAGGAAATTTAGAAACACAAATATATAGAAAACCAACGCACACACACACAGATCAAATACTCATTTATAATAACCATAACCCAGTGACTCATATTTTTTTTTTTTATTTACAGCTTGATTCCACACCGTATTTTTGGTACAGGTATGGAATTTTCAGCATGGATATCGGTAGCCCAAATTTTGCAGGCCGACCATAGATATCAGGTGTGCGCCGGCGTGGGCTCGAACCCCGGACCATGTGCATGGTCGGCGAGAGTCCTAACCACTGTGCCACAGACGCACAGGATAGAATTAATATGCCTACCCACAATTAAACCAACGATCTGGGTGTGTTGTGTTGTTAATACATCACAAAAGAATCTGTGTGCAGACATTCTTTATAAGAGTCCAGACACACCGTATCACTCCGATGTTGAAGAGAATTAAAGCTAAATAACTACTAACTGTCTTCAAGAAGAGTGCGTAGGTGACACAGTGGTCGAATGCTCTCCAACCACGTAGGTGATTCAGGGTTCGACCCCTGGCCACCGACGCCCTTCCTTACCTCGTTAAGCCAGGGATAAGACTCGTGAACAGGGAAGGGGCTTGCAACTCCATCCCCTGTGCGTCGGTGGCACAGTGGTTATGACTCTTGCCGATCATGCACATGGTCCAAGGTTCGATCCTCTGCCGACGCACACCTGATATCTATGGTGGGCCTGTAAAATTTGAGCTACCGATATCATATGCTGCAAATTCCATACCTGTACCAAAAATACGGTGTGGAATCAAGCTGTAATCAAAAATAAAAAAATAATACCCCTGATACCAAAACTTCAAAGCTCTAGCTAGAAGCTCTGTGTTTCACTAGAAACGTAAAGGATTAAAAAACGTCTTCAAGAAGAATGAATATCCATAAAGTTTCATCAAAAAGCGTTTAAACTCAAATCGATATATCGTCCTAAATGACCACAAGAAAATCCACTCTACCTTATACGAAGAATATCTCTGAGATAATGTCTGGAATATTAAGACCATTTGAAGTAAACATAGCAAACAAGCCATCCACTTCACTCCGTATTGTGCTAACCAAAGGACCCAACAGAAAAAGAACACAAGATCGATACCATTTACAAAATAAATTGATTGAAGTCACATGAACATTACATTGGTCAAAGTTGACGTCCGTTTCGAATCAGAATCTAAGAACATAAATTAGCTGTTAAAGTGAACGATATATATTCTTCCATATCGATGCATGTTGACAATCACGGAAACCAATTTGAGTTGGAGAATATAGAACGTTTAAATAGAGGAGACACTAAAAACGCCAGGTGACTTCTGGAATCCTGGTACTCAGATAAATCAGCAATTAACAAATGCATTACTTTAGACAAAATTTACCAAATAATAGAAAAAATAAATCACATGAGGTTTAAGTTAACAACCAATCACGACAATGAGTTGTCAGCAGATATAATTATATCGTCATCATTCATGGCGAATCTAAAGAAGTTCACTTAATGTTAAAGCCTGCGCTGAAGATGCTGTCTAGAAGAACAGATAAACCTTCACAGGTAAATCAACATGTTCAGACAAAACATTCATATATAAAGGGCGTTATGTTCTCGGTCGCAATTGCGATATATTTAAACTGTTGGTCCAAAACGTAACACATCGGTGCCAAGTGGCACATGTACGCCTGGACCTGATATTTCAGATATGTCTGGAAGTCGGCTCACAACAATAACAGCACTTAGGTCGGTTCGCTCTTTTATGCATTTAATCACATATATCTTATGAATTAGTCCTTATGACTATACTTGAAATCTGATAGATGCTGCTATTTCAACACAGTCATTATCCTAGATTAATCAACTACTAAAGACGACACCCTTCTGTTGCGTCGTCTCAGCTTGAAACCAGTTGGTGTGATGAAGTCATAATCACATAAAGCACTTATCCTTAGACTTTTATACCTCGTAGAACTTGGAATGACTCCCAGTGGATGGAATTTATTAACCTATAGCCATTTACAGTATAAAACAACTATCATCGAATGTTATGACTGATCTGTAATCACCCTTGAAGTTGAGTAACCTTAGAAATCATAAAAGCTCCTTAAATATTGATCTTGAAGTTAACCACTGAACTGGCTAATATTTGAGAACTGGTTACAAAGTGGGAAAGAGTTTCAAAGTATGAATAAACAGTTATTCATTCCCACTTGAATTTTGTCAGTGGTAAGCTGTGTTTAGATTGTTTTGTATTTGGCTGGCTGTGAAATACGCCATGTAATATTTAAGTAGTAGTCTTTTAGCCCTAACAAACTTTTTACACGATAGATTTCTTCCGCCAGCAATCTCACTTTGTCTGCATGGCATTTTTAAAATAGTCTGAAATTAATGTAAGTAAAATTTTTCGTGATGTGATGACATCTGTTTTATATTAGTTTGAGATTTTTTCGATTATGTGTACAGCGTCGATCTGACCAGGAGTTGTAACATGGACCTACAGATTGTGAAGCCAGCAAGCTTATCATTCAGCTAATGAATTAGAATCCGGTCACTGATGAATTACAGCTTCTGTCTTTTCGCCAAAGAACCTTATCGCTACTTGAATTCTATCTGTCTGATTATGCCTTGGATTCTGATTAGCTGTGCGTGTGTGGAATGTCTATCATTATCTGATCACTTTTGGATTAAAGTACACTTAAGTAAGTGATTGCAATCCACACCTGACCTATGAAATTCCGTCATCACTAAGGACCGGACAACGTGTCATGGTTTGTCACCTAGGGAACAATTAATATAGGTTGTTTATTGTTCGCAAAGTGGCCACAAACTTAAGCATTTGAGAGTTTCTTAACTGTTCAAATCAATTCTATTAGTAATCAGCACCAAAGTAAGAGGAGATCTGACGGTGGACAGTAAAATGCAAGTATGAACAAATTTTATTTGTAAACCATACTGATATGATAGAGAAGATATGTAGCTCAGGTGGATGATTTTGATGTGGTTGTATTCTTTGAGCTGGATGGTTAATTTGTGAAGCTTTCATTGCCCTACTACGCGACATTTTCAGCGCATACTTCAATCTGAAGTGAGCTTTTAGATTTCTCCACGAGTTTGTTATTATTATTATTACTATTAATAGTGGACTAAAGAAAACCAGAATCACTGAGCAAATGTTTCGTTTTATGCCGAAACTCTTCAGTACTTCTAATCCGTAGGCGTCAAAACCATTCATTTGAAAATTTGGCATTGAGTGGCCTAGGCTGTCTGTTCGTGTCTATTAGTATTACACTGATAAAAATTTTGTGGTGAGGTAGAGATGTAGATACTTGTGAATTATTCTGAGGCTGTGAGGTGTCTATAACATCTGGATCATAATTTTATTAAGGTTGACATAATAATTACGGACACCGTCAATTTTAATAGTATTTAAAATGTTTACATGAACAAGGTGGAATCATTTTGATAACTGTTTGAAGCATTGTATGTAAACACTGAATGATGGTGGAAATTAAATCGCATTTTCACTCTGGTAAGTCTGATGAAGTTATCCAGAGCACTCAGTCGTCCCTTTCATAATACTTAAAATAATTATTTTTTTAGCTGTCAGTTTGCAGAGATTCGACTGGTTACAGGTTTGTTCACTGACATCATTTCTCTGGACTGAAACTCATTGGCATTGCGCATCTACCAGGGTTCGGACCCAAGACCTTCCGGTTACAAGCCAAGCTTGTAAACCATTCAGTGACTAAGACCCGATCCGACTGTTTAGTAGGTAGTGCAACAGCATGCTTTTACCAATCAATATTCTTATTAGTCACTTTGAGCGATTGTATGGTTAACAGCCAATTTAAATGAATTTATCACTTCACCTACTTTTGTAAAGTCTTTTTACAGTTCAGACTGCCCTATTCTAATGCCAGACTATTTCAGAATATCTGTAAACGAAGTAATACGAGTCATCTGATAGATCTTTTCTGAGACATCAGAGTGTTATCCTTCAACTCTGTGTTCAAAATTTTATTGATATTTCCGACAGAATCTCCGCCAAGTTAGTGAACTAGATGTCGATCATGCACTTGATTACTCATGTTCCCGTGATGTTATTTCCCTCCAAGATCTTTGGCAGATTAATCTGTCTGCGTCTAAGTGGGATGACTATCTAACTGGAAAATTAACCCAGTTGCCGTCGTTTCTAATGACTAAACTGTTAGCCAGCACTTGCTGTGCAACAAGTATCAGAACTTCAAATGTCCATAGTCCGCTTGAGAGAAAAATTTCCAAATCGTTTCATGTCTCCAGAAATAATTGCTTACCTGAAGATTTGACTGCCAAGAAAATTAGCTCAATGTGTAACTTTTTCCGTTTCATTGCTTGTTTCCCTGTTGGGCCAGCTAGACGAATGAATCCATTGCCTGAGAACTGAGGTATAATAGTGACCACTGTAAAAAATAAATCGAAAATGGAATATGTAGTAGAGATTATTTGTCTTTAGTACATTATGGGGAAGTTATCTGAGATGTATTCTTGATGCTGGCATCAGTTTACATCCAAGATGATGGTTATAACCTCAAAGAGTTATGGGAAAATACTTCAGCTCACCAAAATATTAATACTTATTTTTAAAGACAAGGTTGAAAGTGGATTTAAAAGAAAATAAAGAGATAACTCGTTAGCTTTGCTTTTGTTCTTATTCAGTTTTATTCCTTTGCATACCAAGTGAAGCTGAGAGCCTGAAGCTTTGAAGTGACAGTAGCAATGGTGTTACTTCATTTTAGTGAAGACGAGGGCAGGGACGTGGCAACTGCTAGCCCCACTCCAAACCTTCTATTTTGTGGATTTATCATGGGCTGAGAGAGGTTAAGGACACCATCAGTAGTCAATGGAACCCCGATCACTTACATGGTTAGCCAGCATTCCACCACTGAACCACCGACACATATCGTTGTACTGTGGTGAGTTCCCAGCAGAACAATTCACAAGTATTTTGAGGTTCATGGATTCATCTGATGCTAAGATAGATTCCATATCGAGCCTATATCACTCAAGGAACTACTGAAATCCAGACAGCCCTGTACAGCTGTTTCGTCCCACTTCGGGCCTCTTCTGATTAAGCCACGAGGTTTTCCAATTTACTTTACAGTGTGACATCCTCTATAGAAGTCTTGAACAGAGAAACGACTGATGCAATTACAGTGGATGCAGACGGATAAAATTGATCAATTATTTGGAAAGCATGAAATGAATAGAAAGAAGTGGTAGACATAAGCAGCACTTTTAAGTACCTTAGTAATTTTATCAACTTTGAATTCCATTTGAAAAGTAATATTCATCAAAAGCACTTGACAGGACAACTCATTAATAGTGAGCAGCATAGCTTGAATAAAAAATGGGGGTAGACAGGCATCTGATTCAATGTAGTACACACTAGAGTCAAAGTACTTTGAAACTGGTGAATTACGACTCGGAAATTCATTCTTCACTAATCTTGTGACTGAATTTCAGTGGATTGATTGACATATTTAAACGTAAAAGAATAATCTTTTGAATAAATTCGTCATCGCGTTTTACATTTTCATGACCAAAGAACCAAAGAAATATTCTAAATAACAACATCAGTGTCATTTTAAATTACATTGAATCGACAGAGAACAGTTTAAAAACATCAGTGTGATAATATGCAGTAATATAACAACACTAAACTGATTGAATATCAGATAAATTATGAGAGGTAACGCAGAATTTGTGAATTTATAGGCTCGATGGCAGGTCAGAATAGCAATAGTGAGTGGATCTGCTTCTTTTTTACACAAGACTCCGGTTGATTTAAGCGAATTGCAATGGTCTCTGCTGTTTGGAGTGTTCAGTACCTAGATACCTTTACTAATTTATTCGGTAACTTACGGATGACAGAAAAAGACTGTCCCGTTTTAACTTTGTGGCCTGTTAGTGCGAAGTGATCTAACATAGAACCGTATTATGGTTTTGCGAAAGTGGTTCTTTAACCACTCATGAAATTGCTGATGAGCTGCAGCCCATATTTTCCACACAACTGTTTGTGATTCCAAGCGGCTAACCACTTCTATCTTTCAATTCAACTGTTCCTGTGGATCCAGTTATATTACCTGTTGCTTTAGGCACCTAGTTTTTGCATTCTGAAACGTCTACCAGTGTGGTTAAATGAAGGTATTGTTAAAACCGTTAACAGTTCTGCATTGCAACATCTTGTACAAACAAGCCACAAAGCCAGCATTCAATGGCCTTTCTATATCATCCATCGGGGATCAAATACATTACTAAAGGCCTCTTGATACCGAACACTCCAAACATCAGAGATCATCGGAATTCATTTGGAACAACCGGAGTTTCACATGTGTAAGAAACAGATCCAGCGATATTAGGTTTAGTGTTATATTGATATATATTATCTCTCTCGTTGATGTTCTTGGAATGCAATCACCTATCGATACTGTTGTTGTTTCCTTCACGTTTCTAGTGGAACATAGGGCTTCATGCTAGTGGATTGGAGTTTCTGTAGTAGTGTTTATTTTACAGGATGGGGTTGCTAGCCTCATACCCAACCTTTCTCTTTGCCAGGATTGTTTCTGGCTTAGCGAGGTAAAGGATTGCGTCGGCCGGGGATCGAACCCCGGACCATGTGCATGGTCGGCGAGCGTCCTAACCGGTGTACCACCGACGCACATCGATACTATTGATTCAGTGTAATTTAAAACACTATTACTGTTGTTAATAATAATACTTTTAGGTATTGGTTTTATAGGGATTTAGTTTGATTGGTTGGAGGATTTCATCATGAGCTGATATCAGCTACAGGACCATTGCAAAACCTGGGAGTACTAGACAGCCATTTCGTCCTGGTTTGGGACTATTCATCAGTATGCACCCACCGTCAGAGTTCGAACACAAGACCTTCTGGTAACAAGGCGAGATCGTAGACTATTAAGCCATCAATACTTGAGAATTTATCTGATGCTCACTAGCGACTTGCCCTATTCAGGCGGTTAACCTGGGGTTCTAGTGTGAAGCCATGACCAGTAGGGTACAGTAGGTTGATGGTGAGGCATTAACTCATCGAAGAAGACACTGAGAAGTGGTCGTGCTATGTCACGAATTGGAAGAAGTTGGAATTCATGGGCTGACCATTGGGGCGGGTCCCAGTGGCTTAATGGTGTACGAGCTCGTTGGACGTGTAACCAGAAGGTCCTGGATTCGTACTCTGTCGGTGGGCGCGCACTGATTAAGATTCCAAAACTAGGACGAAATAGCTGTCCAGTACTCCCAGGTTTTCCAATGGTTCTCTAACCAATGGCAACTCATGGTGAAACCCTTGAGCCAATAATAATATTTCTTTTATCATTACTGTCATATACATATATATATATATATATATATATATATATAGAACCTGATGACGAAGGAATTATCGAAATGAATATTCTTTGTTCATGAATAAGTCTTCAGTGAAGATCTAAACATTAAAATAAATAATAAAATCATACTTCCATACTGTGCTACATACGTTATCATATGTCCTTTTTTTCGCGATTTCCTCCAATTGCGGTAATAAGTTAGCCGCACTGAAGTTTCATGAGTATTATGAAAGATAGATTCTTAGATGTGTACGAGCTAGAAAGACTGTGCAGACGTACTTCAATCATGAATAAATAATACTTTTTAGTGTGAAACATTATTTAAAAATAATTGGATTATTTGTCAACTGTTTTTAGCCTTCGCTAGGCATATTATACGAGGTTATTTGTACACCTTTAGAGAGGCATTAACTTACTCTGTTCACATAAATCACCTTGCCATCCAGGTTGACAAACACAAACATATTTTCCATCTGCAGCAAGTACAACAGTTCCATAATTTTTGCAAATCTTAGATTGATGTGTATTAGATATTTGTTGGTGTTTTGGAGGAATTATATTTTCTTGCCTTTGTATTTGATCAGATTGTAATAAACGTTGAGTATTGTCCATTTGATTATTATTATTACTATTATCTGCTGTATTCAATGCTACTTTGTGAATTGATTGTGAGCATAATGGTGCTGTTTTATGATTTGTTGATATTCCATACCACGCCAAATTATTTTGAACACCATTTATAAGATTTAAATTAAAATATTTTTTAAATGATCCTCCCGTATTAAGTGTCAGTTTACTTAAACAGCCAGAGAAACCGTAATCTTCATGCGTTTCGATGAGTTCATTAGTATCAACAATACTGTTGTAAAATAAAAAGAAATTCGCAGATCAAAAATCGATGATGATTAACGCTTAAGAGTTACAATGTGACACATGCATTCATTTCAAGTAGTTTATTTTAGATTATTCACAGAGCGAATTTAGTTTTCACCAACATTGGAGGACTAGATGCATGATACTAATTACTCACTGGCAACCACTCACTGGATGGATAGAGTATTCACTTCAGTTGAATTATTGTCACCTTTAATTTGTCTGCTTACTAGCCATCTCATCCATATGAGAACATTTAAGTGTAAGGTTGATATGTCCTGAAGATTGGTAGGTAGCGGCCAAAATTTGAAATCAACACTTTGAGTCGATGGCTGCAAAGGTAGGAGTGTTTATTCCTCAAATTTGGATTTAGTTTACGTTGTGGACATGAAATTACACCCACTAGACAACGTTTTTGTATCTCACAGTTTAACCCTGAGCCAGTCGCCAACTATTTATTGCTCTTTCATGCAGCCATGGGCAAAAGAATTTATAAATGTATCTCAATAAAAAGTCCGTTACCAAGTCTCTTATCTTCTGGCTATGCAAAGTTTTATCAAGGTAACACAATTAATGTCATTGTATTTTGTTTGCTTACTCACCGATTCAGGGATTAATATTTATACGAAATCGGTTTGAGGTTTAGCTACATAAAGTTATTCGTCAAAGCATTATTACTAACTTCCAGCTATTTTATTCTCGTATGAACCGTCCAAGAAATGGGAATTTTTTAGACATTTCTAAAGTGATAACTGATCATTTTTGTTTTTTTATCATTTTTGATTATAGCTTGACTCCACACCGTATTTTTTTGGTACAGGTGTGGAATTTTCAGCATATGATATCCGTAGCCCAAATTTCGTAGGCCGACCATAGATATCAGGTGTGCGTCAGCAGAGGATCGAACCTTGGACCATATGCATGGACGGCGAGAATCCTAACCACTGTGCCACCGACGCATAAGATGACTAGAAATGTGGAAATATTTGAACTGATAGACTGAATTTACCTGCTTTTAAACAGTTCACACTGTAAACGATGAACAGGAGAATTAGATGTTTTGAGGTATGAGGTGAATATGAATTTCACTGCCTTCAAACAAAATACTAATATTCAAGAGTTTGTTAGTGGCGCTTTGATTTACTTCAAGTTTGATCATGTATTGGTATCATTTAGAGAACCATCTAAAATAACAACAGAGTACTGGACAGCTATTTCGTTCTAGTTTGGGACTCATCAACACTGCATACCCAACCCAGGAGCTTCAGGTCGGGATGGGAGACAAATACTCGCCAGGAACATTGGATGGCGCCAGTTGTACTAAAATCACGAACCGCCAAAAGTTAGAATTCTTGGGCTGGTCCCTGAGTGAGTTGGATTCCAGGGGTTGAATGGTCTACGAGCTTGCCTTGTAATCATATAGTCCCGGGTTTGAACCCTAGTGACGATGAGTAGCAAATTAGGACGAAATGGCTGCCCTGTACTCCTTTGTGGTTTTCGATGGTTCTCCAACCTATATCAATCCGTCATCAAACTTAAAAAAAAATGCAGATATGATTAGAAGAGGAGTGATGGAAGTCTATTTCACCAGGGTGATTGTGATATGAAGCATATTTTCGGCAACAATTTTCAGTGTAGTAGTAACGCTAACCAAATTACCATACTCAATAGCTTTAATAATCTAGAACACTGAAAAATCATATGCCCACTTGGAGTACTAAACATATACTGTGAAGCTAAGTTCAGTTTATATTTGTTTCCCAATTATTTCTACCTACTTGTGAGCTAAATTAAGTAGTCAGTCACTAGGCTATTAAACCTCAAGAAGATAATTGATATCCGCATTCATTTCAACTGATTTATGAAAAGTGATCATTGTTTTCAGATTATACAGACAGCTTTAACACACAACCAAACTTGGTATGTCATTCAAGTGTGAAACACTGGGTGTGGAAGGATTTTTCTATCACTGCAGACAATCCACTGCCTCCACAACACAAACAGACTGTTTCTGTAAGAAAATGTTTGTAAGAATTGATCATCTTCTAGGCTGCATTGATAATAGAATGGTATCAAGTTAGTTAGTTAGTTAAGAAAACCAGCAAACTATAACAAGGTACTCTTTTCTATCGTAGACTTTTTTGGAGATGCGAAGCCATACAGATTCTGTAGTCAGACGCCTCAAGATAGTCGACCCTACACCTGAGGAAACGTATCTACAACTTTGTCTGATGAGACTCACTCGGCACCACTTCGAACTAAACAGATATTGCTGGTCACATCGCAGTGAATCGAAATGAATTTGGACGAAAACAGGTTGATATCTAATGACGCATAACTGTAAGCTTCTATCAACATGGAAAGTAACATTGAGTATCACTAATAAGTAAATGACCTCCCTCTTAAGTAGGATGACTACGTAAGTTATTGTTTTCCACATGTGTACTCATTAGATAAAAATTTCTTAGAGCTACAACAAACATTGCTTAAGTGCACAAAACTACATACGACTGATTGGTTGAGATATCAGCAACTGTATACCTCTCGCAACAACCAACAGTAATTACTAACCAGGCTGAAGAGACCTAAATACAAGACAGCCGTTTCACTTGTGGTGCAACAGATATGTCTTAGCACTCAGAGAGCCGAATCAGCTGAAACCACTTGATTTTCAGCTGGCTAGCTTCATTGTCGAACTGATTATACCATAAATCAAACTCTGGTTTTGTATTATGCGTAAAATTTGTTTTGATGAAGTCTCGCAGTGTTATACAGTAATGTTTACTGATTATTGACACGCATAAATACACCAGTGGAGGGAATAAAATTCACGTTTGAATTAGAAAATGAACAAGGAGAATTAGCTATGCTAGATTGTAAAATAAAGCGAATAGAAGAAAGTAAACTGCACACTAGTGTTTACAAAAACCAACTCATTCTAGTAGATATTTAGACTTTAATTCATCTCACCGTTCACTGTTAAGGCAGGCTTAGTTAAGTGTTTAACAAACCGAGCAGTAGCACTAAGCAGTACAAAAAAAGACCTAAATGATGAAAAAAAACATATAGAAGAAGTGTTGGTATCAAATAACTATCCAATAAAATTCATTAGGAAGATTAGTAAAGGCCAAACGAAAAATAAAAATAATTGTTAAACTAGTAATAATAACATAACTAAGAGAGAATATAAGGCATTTACATTTATACCATATTATGAGGGGAAATCTGAGACCCTACATAGGATTCCTAATAAAGCAGGAATTAGGGTGGTGGCATTCAAACCCAAAATATCACTCAGGGACAAGCTCTGTAGGATAAGGGACCCAGTTGAGCCAATCAGACAAAATAATATAATTTACAAAATACCCTGCAATGACTGTTAGGTCAACTACATAGGCAAAACTAGTAGGTCAGAGGTAGTCAGATTGTCAGAACATAAGAATTTAGCTAAGGCAAAAATGGTTGATCCCGAGAAGATAAGTAATTTAGAAAAAAGCTCAGCAACTGCAATGCATGCATTAAGACACAACCACATAATAGGGTGTGGGAGGGTTAAAATTCTAAAAAGTAATCTAGGTAGGCGGAGAGAGAGAGGTTGATTACTGAATCCTTGTTCATCGAATCTACACCTAACACAACACATGAAACAGGAATGACTCATCTCTCATACCGGAAATAAGGAGAATACTACTACCAATCAAATCAAACGATGAAAATTAATGATGGAATTATATAAACGAAGTTAGAAATTTGTGTGATTACCTTGATATGACCATGAGCGGTAATAAATTGTGCTCGAAACGTCATCAGTAAAGGCTAATGTATAACACTGTGAGACTTTATCAAGACAAGAATTCACCCATAATGGAATTTTACTATGCCACAGTGCACAAGTTTTACTCTTATATCCGGTTTCGCAGATTAATTTAGGACTTTCTACAGTTCGAGGCGAAACTTCAATCAATCAATAGAACATATTTTCATGCAATTATTCTTGCATTCTAATACATCGAAAAAACACACTTAATTCGCTATTCATTCGTTATGTTATAAAATTTATATAATCACATAAATAAATCTGAATGTTTAAATTTTGAAAATTGACAAATAATCATGATTGTTTATTCGATAAAAAACTTGTTAAATGATACATGTTAGATTCTTTGTGGTAGATTTGTTCAACTGCCTACACTCACGATACTACTAACAAGTAGTCATGATTACGAGGAAAAAAACAAATCAGTTAATAAAACTTATGACTCAATATAATATTTATACATATGTCGATACAGTCACAGTATGCATGAATTATTCATTCAAGTTCGAATAAAATTCTGGAAAGTATACAAATTATGATTTTATATCAGTTGATTGCAAATTATTGATCAGGTAGGCATATCCGAAGTACTGGAAAGAGTTGCTCTAATAATATATGAATCATTGGTATTCATTCTGTCGTCATAATGAAAAGCTATTGTTTTTGAAGTGTTCAGTGGAAGACTGATGGAAGTGGTGTGAAAAAGAGTTATGAAGGCGATGTCACTACTTGGCCAGTGTTGCCGATAAGCAGATTAGATGTTTAATTCGTTCTTTTATTATTTAGGAATTTTCATCACTGTGACTAATAGCTTCTGAGAAATTAGTTTGGAAGTCAGCTTTAACTCAGTACAAAGAATGAAATTCTGATTTGCAACACCAGTGTCAAGTTCATCAGTCAGTTCTTCTATATGGGTTAGAAACCTGGTACGCCTGGAAAAGTATTTTCAATAGCCAGCAGGAGACTTTCATCAACAGACGCCTTCTACGGCTCCATAGTGAAGATCAGATGGACCATCATGAAAGAATTCGCAGAATGAAAACCCTGGAAATGAACCAGTCAATAACCTGTTGGTCAACAAACATGCAGAAGAAAATGGAGGCCTTGGAATGTCAGCAGGAATTATTTGCTGAGTGCTTCTCGCTGACAGAGTTTTGACTTCACCCTGTTGGAAATATTCCTCTTGAATCTCAGGTACTTTTTACGGTTAATTGAGTTAAATAATTAGTTATACAGTATTAGTTTGTGACGGAACTGGATCTGTATAGCTGCCTAACAGCATTGCTGAGGTAATTCTGACTATTCGAAATTTTATTTTTGTTCACTAACACCACAAATTTTACTGGAAATCAAAGTCGTTTTACTATCGTTGTGAGTAACTCACGGAAGTCCTGGTTAGACATACATTAGAACTCATTGATCATCTGCATTCAGACCGCAACACGTCGGTTCTGGTAGCTGCATATTCACTAAAAGTCATTCAATAGTATGTCCAATCAAATTTAATGATAAAACAGTAGTTTTTGGTAGTATTGACAATTTATAAGTTAGAATTTCGGTTGCACTTTGAGATCTGAATGCTAAGCGTCCTGGGATTTAAACTCTAAACTAAATATGAATTAAGTATAGTCAGTGAAGAGTGAGTGATAATTTCAGTTTGAACTCAAAGAGGGAAAGTGTACACTGCATCTTCAAGTTATCTGTCGACATAAATCGCGAATTTTGATAAGAAACTCATGCTTAGTCACTAGTGAAGGAATTTTTCTGGCTCATTCAGTCCGTGTCCTATAAACTAATGGATCGAATACTGCTGTGACATATGCTTTCTTTCATAGCAGCAAGTACCCTTTCCATGTTCTCATAAAAGTGTAATAGGGTAGGGTAAAATTTTGGTTAGTATTTGTGCGTGCTTTGCCGAGTACATATTGAGTTTATATGTTGACTTAACAAAAGTCAAGATATATGTAGTGATTACGGTTCACATTCAGTATGTTTCCAAGACATTTAATCGGTACCTCTGAGTTTTAGACAGATGAATTGGTTAGACGCTTGTGTGTTTCCAATGCAACTACAGGAGGTCGACTAAGGGTTTCAGTAGTTCAATGGTAACGCCTTTTTACTACAGTATGGGATTACTGTAGCTGTAATATTTCTTTTCATAAATGCATTGCTAAATAGTTTCACGAAGCACAAAAGTTAGGCCCCAGAGCTTCTTCCTTAACGCTTTAAACCATCGGATGAAGACGAGTTAACCAAAGTTTGAAAGCAATTATTCCAACGTATACGAATGCTCTAGCCAATACGGTAAATTCTGTTAGTCATTTTAAGAAATTAAGAGACATTTTCAACACACTTGACTGCCATATTGAATAAACGTAAACTAAGTATTTCTGCTTTTATAATGTTGATAAATTTACCCGTAACCATTTTGTTTAATTTGTCGACCAATCATAAGAGTTTTTAAGCCACCAGCTCCAGGTATGTTATTATTACTGGTTGAATGAGGACTAGCCCATTTCTCAATGACATCATGATTAGTTGTTTTCGGGTATCCATCAATTTGTATCCATGGTCGACCAGAATTAATGCCTGTTTGAATGTTATATCTAACATGTTGAGTAAGATTTTGTTGACTGTAGACAAGCAATATACGATTAGGTACACGTCCATCGATATATCTGAGGGAAAAAAAATAAATATGCATGCACGTATACATGTCGTGGAAGAAAAACATGTCAATGATTCTGAAGGAAGTTAAACATAAAACTTTCAGTAAAAAAGCCACCAAATTACTCTATATATGTTTATAATTACAGGTTTGATTAAAAATTCGTAGTGCTCAGTGTCACTAGTGAATAAAGGGGGGCAGCAGCCGATCATAAGCTAGATAATAACAACAGTCTGTTATCAAAGTTGTGAAGAGACCACAATAATTTCACAAATGCTGAAGCCCATGAAGTTACTAAAATCCACGAATAGAGTCCTACCGGAGGACATGAAAATGCACCCAAAGACCCAACGGACATGATCTCACCATTACTGCAGACGTTTTGGAAGAGGGAAAGTCACCTACTGACTGAAAGAATAGTAATCCTGTCAAACTGCCAAAGAAGCGACTTCAACCTAAGCAACAGGTGGCACTGAATCACACTCCTGTCCACCCCAAGCAAAATATTAAGCCGCATAGTCCGGCAGAGTTGAAAGATGCTCTGAATGAAAGACCGTACTGTGTGGTTTCGGGATAAACAAACCATAGGCTGATCAAATTACAACATTATACACTATCATAGAACCGAGCATCGAGTAGCGGTCAACCGTGCTCAACTTCATCGATTTGGAAAGGCAGAGAAGTAACTCGGAAACTAACAACAGACCCACAACGAAAAACTCAGGAAGCCTCCGAACGGAAGACCACAGCTAGGTGAAGCTGCTCGCTATTGCTAATGATATCCCTGCCTGTGGCTGACTGGGTTATGCAACATACCACAGGAAGTGAAAACATGGGCAGATGTTGGACGGTAAAATGACCCAGTAGGTCTAACTTCGTGGACAATTCATGTTTAATGTCACACAAAATGGACGAAAGCCGAGAAGTTGGAGCTAGGGCGGTGCTTCAGTGAACATTTATAGAACAGATACGATGAAGATACCTAATCAACAACAAGCAAACAACAGACTGTGTCATTTCAACTATAGGTGAAGGCACAAGTGAAGATGATTTCAGCCAGGATAATGTTTGAGCTGAAACACTGAAACCAATACGGAGACTTACATCACACAGCAAAAGGTGAAAGATCATAATTTGCAAAATTAATAACAAATCAGTGCTTCTATTTAGCTCAGAGATTTATTGTTAATGCAGCATAAAACACTTTCAACATTGTGTGAGGTTTTATCAAAAGCTGAGTCCACTTGATACTGAAGATTAAATGCCGACTGGCTGGAGAGGAAGGGCAACAAGGCATTCTTACAGGCAGCAAAGAAACCTAAAATCTGCTGATCTTCTGACAAATATACAGAAAAAATTTAAAATGGATTGAACATATGGTGAAGATACCAAAAGTGACATCACGGTCCAAGCCCTTGAGAATAAATCAAATAGAAAGCAACGTATTGAGAGTCCGAGTGTGACGCAACGGGGATCATGCTGGGAGGAAGTGAGAGAGTGTTGCCCGCAATGAAGTCAAATAAAAGTGTCAGAGGAGAACAGAATACAACAGACACATGCCGCTTAATCCCTGAGAACCACTAAAAACGTATAATAACAATAACAGACTGACAGTACTCTGAATTAGTGCTACTTTTTTGATGGTATTGTAGCGTTGAATTAGCAAACTGCAAGCGATTTAATGAGTGATTACTGAAGGCGCTTTTGTTTTTTGTTCAGCAAAAATGCATAGAAACAGAAACAGAGCACAAGATACAAATCATACTTCTTCTTTCCTTGTCATTCTACTCTCCAATATCTCTGCTATTCTCATATAGGAAGGAAATCAAGATAGTTATAGAAGAACTGTGTTACTCCCTTAAGGATTTGGCCCTTCAACCAACAGTTCCTGGGTTCCAGTTCTGCTCCAGTAACTTCACACTTGACAGTTGTTTATCACTATCAAGTAATCATACGGCAAATCTGCCCCATAGCCTGGCAGATGAAACATTCTGATCCCAGTAATCAATTCTTCATATGCTAATTAATCTGTCTTTGAAAAGAAAAAGAATTAAAACTGAGGCACTAATGCTCACTTTACAACAACTCTCCAATTTGATACTCCCATAGTGAATAGATGATCTTGAGCATTTTGTAAAAGCATTAATTCTTGTTCAGTCGGCGGTGAACGATAATGCAACAGCATACCGTTTGCATCATATAAAGTTAACGTCAGATGGATTTCAGTCGGTTGATCAATTTGAAATGGTAAGTCAACTAATAATGTAGTTGTTTCTGTAAAGAATCTTCCATTGACGGGATTATTTTCATTGTCATTGTTACTATCGTAATTGTTCCTGTCGACTATTACTTCAGATAAAGGAGGACTTAAAGTGATAGTTGTATTGAGTACAGTTTGTTTAACTGAATCCTTTTGTTCATTTGATCGCTGATTTGCATCATTCCTGGTGTGAACTAGCAAAATTTAGAATAAAAGAGAAAAATGTTGTCAGTTGCAAATTTTTCAACATTTTTGGGAAGTGGAGAAAACTAGATTTGACATTTCGTGCTATTCACTGCTGTGAAAGGAGATTTCATGTCTCAGTTTTGAATTTTGCTGTTACCTAGACGTGATAACTTTATCTGGCAGTCTTTGATTTCATTCGAAGTCTTCTACATTATACAACTAACTAGTCAAATAAATTAATTCAGTCACCAGCTGAGCACGATATTATGCGTTAGAACTGTGTCTATACATGAATTATTCTTCGAAAAAAATTCTCCTCATTAACCAGTCTTCATCTTCTTATATTTTCTTGGCTAGCTGAAAAAGGAGGTATTTGACAGAGAACAATCATATTCATTCGGGTTACTTACTTACCGCATTTCAGCACAGTTGAACCTACGAATTAACCAAATTGGATCTGACAATAATATGACCCTATGAAATCTTGGAAGTTCCTCCTGTCACATGTCATGCGCAATTTTGTGTCTAGCACCTGATCTAAGAAGTTATTTGAGAGATACACTTTTTATTATAAAGTCGGTGATTTTTGAAATTTATTGAGGATTAATGTTGTTATTATATTCTGTATCTGACATATGTTTACTGTGGCTTATATCGGTCAGTCTCACAGGCTAGTAACTGTACTCTTGCCTAACTTGGTGGACCTCACCGGTTACGATTTCTCACTAAAACTCCAGATAACTCCCTGCTTAAAGTCAGTCCGTAGTGAGCATGTGATGAATACCAAAAATATTGAACTTTTATAGATTTCCTAACAGTGTGTTTTGTGTTCATCTGAAGTTTGCCAGTAAGTGCAAAATCTATGTGGAGCTTAATTTCTCTTAATCAGACTTTGTTATATACAGAAAGGGTGTCGAGTTGAAGAATTATTGAATGAAATAGTAACAATGAGTATTCTGCATCCTAACTAAACAGTTCAGTGATTTCTAAATACCATCTATTGCCAGTCTACTATAGTTCATTCAGCCATATTAAAACTGCTATTGCATATAAGCAGGATGCTTGACTTCATTTATGAGGACAGCTGGAAAACAAGGTTATTTGTGAAAGTGTTAGTAACATCTATACAGCAGCGAAAACTTATCACTCTTGATGTCAGGATTTGTTGGATTTTGGTCCTCACTTCTAAGCACTGTTAGAAAAGACCTAACAACAAGCCTAGATGAATTTATGATTACTCCTGGATTCAAACTCTAGTCGTAAAATGACGAACGCCAGCAAATTTAGCATAAATAATTCAGGAGAGATATCAGTATCCCCATAGTTGTATGCTACGAAGTGTGGTTCAACAATATAATTTCAGAGTAGGCTTTGGATTGACAAAACTAGAATTCAAGATCTACTAAATGAATGATTATCGAATTCCGCTGGTAATCTAAAGGTCCAGAATTTGATCCCAGAGAGGCTTATGGGGGCGCACTGCTGAAGAAGAAGAAACAACTTTTCTTTTCACAGAAGCTTTTAGTCTATCTACATTTGATTTGCGTTTGGGAGGAAAATCAACTTGAAATGAATCAATTCCTTAAAATTAGATACTTGGAAAGATTTCTCACTCCTTGAATCTATACTTTTCAGACATTTAACATTAGGATTCAGACCAGTTGGTAAGCCCGGCAAAGATGGAAGGTTTTGCGTGAGGCTAGGAAACCCACGTCGGAAGTAACGGAATCGAATCACAGAAACTCATTTACGTCTTTTAAGGTAAACATATCAGACACATTTTCTACCGCAAGTCTCAATAGTATCTAAGAGGTGAATTATGAATAAAAGCAACAGGAAAAAGAATAGTCTGACACAAATCTTTTATATACTTCTAATTATCGCCAATGATTTTCCTGATTGCAGTAGATTGGATAGTGCGACAGACAGCGAGCAGCGAGGAAACAGGCACAAAATGGACCCACACAGAACTTCAAGAGGATCTGACTTCGCCGATGACATATGTCTGATTTCCCACAAATTGGAAGATGTGCAAGTGAAAAGCAACAACTTGGCAGAAGAAGCATTCAAGAAAGAGAGAACTTCAGGTGAACATAGAGAAAACAGAGGTGATGAAGATTCCTGGCCAACAGCAACAGACAACAATCAGCATAAATTGGAGAAATTTAGAAGAAGCAACCTCCCTCACGTATCTGGGAAGCATCGTTTCACCTACAGGTAGAAATGATGAGGACATCACAGAAAGGATCGTGAAAGCAAGACAAGCATTCATTACTCTCAAGTCTGTGTGGAGGTCAACAGCACCCAGCATGAGAAATAAGACCCGAATTTTTAACTCCAATGTGAAGTCGGTGCTACTCACCATACGGATCAGAGACTTGGCGCGTCATAAAGAGCACCTTAAACAAACTACAGACCCCCATTAACAGCTGTCTTCACTCAATACTCAAGATCAGATGGCCAGAAAAGATCAGCGGTAGTGAGGGATCTCTGGGAGCGAACCAAACAGAAACCGATTGCGCAATAAATACGCAGGAAGAAATGGAGATGTATTGGTCACACTCTGAGGAAACCATCAAGTGAGTGACATTACACGCCGGGTTATCGCTCGAGTGGAACCTGAAAGCGAAGCAGCGGATCGGTCGTCCAAGGGCAACTTGGAGGAAGTCATGTGGAGTGAAGATGAAAGCGTGTGCGCAGACTTGAAGCGGGGTGAAAAAGTTGGCAGAAAACCGAACGCAATGGAGACGCGCAACTGAAGCCCTATGTTCCTCTAGGAACTAAAGGAAATAATAATTAATTATCACAAGTAGGTATTCACTACTCCAAGTGACCGATGATGCCAGTTATCAGCCTGTGGATAATCTGACCATCAGGTAGTTCAGGTCCCGCATTTTAATCAGAAATCACAGAGGATAAAACCGACGCAATCAAAAAACATCTTGATTAACGAGTTGTCTAGGATAAAAATTAATCAGTTGAATAACATAGTCTGTTGGTTTTGTTCTTACCTTCATTGTATTCTTCTTTCATATTACAGCCACTTTCTGTTACCTGACTGCCATCTGGACACATTGAACACTGTCGTCCTACAACACCTGAACGACAATGACATTGACCTGTAGCTTGATTACACGATGAATCAACTGAACCAAGAGGATGACAGGAGCAGGCTTTAGGGAAAATAAGTCAAAGCAAACAAATACGTTTTACATACATTTTGTTGGAAAAAGGTAACAAGACTTTAAAACGAAGCTTTGTTTAAACTAACAATATGACAACATTGATTAGTAAACGAGGAGTAGTCTTTTTGATAATTTGATAATTATATATGCCTGGTAATTCAGGAATAATTGTAATTGACAGCAATACTTTTTTTCTTGAGTAAGATGGAATTATTAACTGCAAAAATTCGAAAAGTATATATTGTAAGTAAACTGTTAATAGATTAGAGTTCAAACCGTGTGTATAAGATAATATGCGTGAACACAGTACAAAAATGAACGTCATGCTCTTGACCATGTATTCATTGTTATACATGGTCGTTCATTATGATGTATTGCCTCTCAATTTAATACTATACTTCAGTATACACACGTTTTGAACTCTACTCTAATAACAATCTATTTACATATACATCTTGTAATTTTTTTATCTTAACGATTCAATGTTATTTATAAAAACTGTAATGTTGTCAATGACGATTAATCTTCAGTTTGAAAGTTGAGAGCTATGACCAATAAACAAACAACTGCAGACATATTATTAAAATAAAAAAAATTAGTATACACCAAAAACTCAGCATCGAAATTAATTTGAAGCAGATTTAACGTTGTTAAGTTTCAAAATTCAAATATTTCTAAATTTTTTTTAGACAGAACAGTGGGCTTTTTGTGCAACGAAAATATTAATACTGAACACTATAGAGTGAACATCTTCACAGTGAACTTTTATAAACAAATCTGCTGTTTTACTTTGGGTGTACTGAAGTCAGAGATGGGATTCATGTTTGCAACACATACATGTCGGTGCCAACATCTACGTCTGTGTACATATCTATCATTTCTTGTACTCCCGAGAATCAGAATACGAAGAATGCTATAAGCAGATTCTGTGGAAATATTTTTTAAAGCATTAACCTGTTTAACATTTGGCGACAGCTTCATCTATATGTGAATTCGCTATGAAGTTCATTTACTGATCTCCTGGTGATTCATTTTTCAAACTCAGTGAGTACACGGAAGATTTGCAGCTCACGAAATGAAATACATTCATTCCACCTGACAGTGTTTGCTTATTTCATTCCTGTTTCTCAGAAATCCCCTCAACCGCCTCTGTTTAGCTCACCGATTGACTATCATAAACTAAGTGAGATAAAATGTTAACAGCTAATTTGTTTGTATTTTGTAGATATGTTTTTATTACTCTGTTAATGCATCTGTACACCATAAGAATACCAATTTTTGACTGAATGATTGTCGTATTGTAATTACTAAGGAGAAATGTTTGAATAATCGTTGTATCAGTTGAAATAAACAGTATGCTTAACATTTCGAATCTCAGCAAAAGCAAACCATCGTAAACACTGTCATAGTTTCGGTCATTCAGTCAAAAATGAAACCGATTCTATAATTTGATTCAGTGGCTACATAGCCACGCCCTCTTAACTGGCTATCCCATGGCCACTAGTTCGACTTCTGTTTCAAATTCATCCAAATAAATAATACAAAAAGCTTATTTTACAGAGTTAACATGAGTATTTAACTTACGAATGCATTCATGATTGTTTTGTATGCCCCAATAGTTCCCAAGACATTGATCACACTTCAAGCCACCAACACCCCATTTACATCGGCAATTGCCTAAGTAGTCACATTCTTCTGACAATGCACCAAGTTTGTTACACGTACAACTCGGTAATCTAACACCATCTTTAATGGGTAAATAAAAGGGAGAAACACTTAGTTTATTTCAAAAAGTGGACTTCTTCTCTAATCAAAACATAAAAAAGATTATTTCATTGAATTTTGGATTTTCCTGCCGATTGATTGGACCGAATTTCTCCGTCTGAGATTCACATGTCGGTTTGTTGCGCAGAAGCTTCGACGATGTTTGGGCATGTATTTAAAATTTAATTGGTGGATGGTAACTAGCAGTGGAATCCAGGTACATCTAGATGACGAGTCTCAAATAGGCCGAAATGCGCATCCTGGATTCCACTGCTAGTCACCATCCACCAAATCAATAAAAAGATTAGATTATCAGGTTTCTAAATGTCGATTCATTGACTTTACAAACATCTAAATAATATAATACTCTTTAACAAAGGAAGTTCTGATGAAGTTAATTATCCTAGGGATACAAGATTCGTGTGACATAGGCGTGAAATTCATCTTAAGCAACAAATCACCGTAAGCATAATGAGAATTTAAGTGTATTGTCTTCTGGAGATGATCTTCACAACTTTCATCTAAAATTTACAAACAGCATATAGTTATTGTAGCTCGAGAAGTGTTCGTAGATCCAACTCAGTCAAGTGAACAATGCACTTTGAATTATCGTTTGGTGTATAGTTCCTTTACGCCTTACTTAATAAATTAATTAGGCATCCTTATTTCTTCTCATAATTATGCTCAAATTTCTTTTGATACTTGTTTGTTAAGCAAAATGCCCTTTACCGTGAGCTGTGGGGATGGGATTTCTAGCCTCATATCCAACCTTCGTTCTTAACCAGACTTACTACTGACCCGACAATGTTAAGCAGTGCATCAGCCGGGATCGAACTCCGGAACACGTGCGTAGTTGGCAAGCATTCTACGGATGAACAATCAACGCTATTTTTATTTTACGCTTTTTTTAATTTAAAAATACTTTATATAAAATGTGCTGGAATTCATACAGTAATCCTCTGTTTATTGGATTGTTAACGTTGTACGTGACACAAACCACTCGAATGTTTGCACTCACCTCTAGATGAAACTGATGAAACAGTAAAATCGAATCCTGAAGGCATAAAAATATGTACTACTGACTGGTTGGAATGAGCAGTTGCATACCACGCACGTCAACCATCAGTGCTTGCTAGCCAGATAGGGGTGATCTCAACACTTGACGGACCTTTCGCCCGTTTGGGGTTGAAGTCATCAGCAGGCAAGCACTGCTGATTTGTATCAGTGGTACGCAAATGCTTATCTTAATAAATTCGTAGTTCATAATTTTATGCAAATTTGTTTGCTTTCCTGATTACCACTTGTGATATCAAGCACATCGCATATTGTGATGGGAATAACTTGGTTTCCAAAAGAGACTAAGGTGAAATCTCACTACTCGAACTGTGTAAAGTGCGAATTACTAATCAGTTTACAAATAATGAACTTCACTTCTTAGCATTTACCACTAGTTTGAATAGCAATTTGAGAAACTGTATTTGTAGAATAATCTAACATGATGAATAATGACTAATAGCTCTATTCTCAGTTGAGTTACTCTGTCTGTTGGATTTATAAGTCACATTCTCCTCAGATGACTTACAGCAAGCAGGTCATTTGCTACTACAGACCTTCCACTTGCTGTAATCTCACACACGACTGATTTGTCTAACAATCTTATATGCGAAAATGTATCATGGTCGTAAGTTCCTTCTAGCGAATGAAATCATAAGAAAGCGTTAATTTTCTGATGTCTGCCTTACCACGAATCTGTATTTTCACCTTTGTGGGCTAAAAAACAAAATTACCAAGAGTTGTTCCTCAGGCATTTGATTTGTTTCAACTTTGACCACAAGCTGATATCAGTTAGACACCAAGTGGAAACCAGCGCTTGAATATTGGATAGCTGTTTCGCCCTAGTTTGAAACTGTACATCAGTACGCATCCCATCGGGGTTCGAATCCAGGAACTTCTAATTACAAGACGAGCACGTAGACCACTCGGCTACTGACACCCGGTTCAGTCCTAACTTCTAACAGTCGACTGGTGGATGATGACTAACACTGGAATCCAGGATACGCATTTCCTCCGATTTGGGTCTTGTCAGCTCGATGTGCCTGCATTCTCCAGTGAGTGGTGGTGTTCACACTAAGGGTCGAACCTAATGCCCATCGTTTAAAACGCCAAAGCGTTGTCCGACGACGAGTCCTAAGTAGGACACATATTCTGGATCCCGTTCCTAGTCACCATCCACCAAGTGACTGAAGGTTACAATACCAGACATCGTCAAAGCATCTGCATAAGGAGCCGACATATCAACCTGAGACGAAGCACTTCATTTCAGTCAATCCACGAGAATATAGAAATCACATTTATTCATCACACAATAGTAACATATTCTAAATACATGCATGATAATACTTTTTGTAGCTTACATACTAACTGGGTCTAAGGATGCTAATCATTAAACTTCGTCTAGCTAAGAAAAATTGAACTTACCTTTCCTTTGTGTTGAATATTTTGAATAAGACCAAGTTTATGGGAAAGAATGGCGTTACTTAAAGTGACAACCACACCATACTAATAGATGACGACAAGTACAAAATAAATGTTATGCACTGCTTACCATAGAGTGACCTAATGCTTGTAACACTGAGTATAATGAAACAAAACACATCGTGTTACATTCCTTAGTAAAAAATATTGAGTTGAACATAGATTCATGTGTGAGTATAATCCGATACCAATTAAAAGTGCAATTTTAGACGAAATATGCACATTTTTAGCAATAATGCAAAGTCAGTACTTCTACATAGTTCAGAAACTTGAAGCCACATGAGACTGTCATCAACAGCTAACTTTGCCATTTCTACGGTGAAGACTAAATAACCAACCAGTAAGTATTAGCAACAAGGAACGTTGGCAGACATTAAAGCAGACTACAACCTTTTGCCCAGAAAATGCGCAGACCGCTGACTGTGACCCGGATTGGGTGACACACATATCACGTGAGGAAGAAGTAAAGGCTCCTAAGGGCAGAAAACCAGGTGGAAACAAAAGGTGCTACAACAGTCCGATGTTACACCCAGAACTCAAGTTGTGAAGGACAAAACTGTTAGGTATTTCTTTCATAAACACAATACACTGAGGCTGTAATTTACAAATTAAAACAACTTAGTAATTGTTACCTAACCACATTCAGGCTTGACAGTATATGAGTCAAAATGTGAACTGCCCAAATGTTGCTCTTCTCTCTCTGTCTACCAGTCAGATAAACAACCAATCGGATTCTTATATGTTGACTAACGACCACCACTCAGTTTATTTTGTTGCACAATCAGTACCCATGATACCGATTTCGTTTCACTATCTGAACTATATAACTACATTCTGCTGGCTTGATTGGAATACATCTTCCCATACCAATGTTTGGGTCTATTGAATTACTGTTTGGAAAAATTGCGCCCATGTGTATACAATGTCGACTATATATGCAAACAGGGAACATTTGCAGAGTTGCAATAAAACAAGAATGAAAATTAGTGAATACGTTTTCTTACCAGCTTGTATATTTCCTGACATTTTCCCATTAGAATCTTGTAGAAGAGATGGATTATTATGCCGACATTTTACGCCAGTCAAGTCAACATCAATATTAGTTTGTTGAATACACGATTGACGTTTCAGTTCACATTCACTTGGATATAGTTTCCCGTCTGTACCGCATACGTCAGGTTCATTTGAATGTTTCGGTGGACATTTATCTCGACATACACACTGACCATTACGACACTGGAAACCCAATGGACATCCACCAGCACAAGGACCTGTGTAGTGTATATGATTAAAGTATTACCGATAAACTAAAATGAGGAATACAGTAAACAATCATAGTTTTAATAATAGATTTCTTATCGGAAAATATAAATGCTTATGAACTCTTGTCTCCAACACTGTGTTCTTATCACCATTGCATATTTGTGGTCTGAAAAAGTAAAAACGGTAGCTGTGAAGAGTTAGTCTGTGTTGATTTCATTTGTTTCAAGTGAGAACATGGACTGATATCAGCTAAAGAACCGCATAACTAGTAACAATCCGTGGCGTAACTCTAAACACAACAAATTAAAAACGCCAATACTTGCGTGGACTGTTTCATTCGCACGATTCCTGTAATATCGGTGACACTGTGATAAGTAGTAAACTGAATATCTCCCATCCTGATATCAGTTTCTGTTAAAATCCCTCTTGGTTGTCTCACATACTGTTTGTTTCTAGGAGAATTTCGCGTTTGACTTGTTACATAAAGAAGTTGAGATATTCTGGCATCATAACTCAGCCTCTTCTCTTACAATTTGTCATTTCATGTATTCTACCCATTCTCCTCTATTCTTCACCATCATTATTCTTCCCTAGACCTCTAAAAAAAGGCTATGTCATAATACGTATGTGGAACACTGAAGACTTCAGATGAGGTTAGTGGTCATAATTAAAATAATCATAATAATAATAATCATAATCTGCTTTATTCCAAAAACAGTACTTATAATACAGAATGGAATTCTCAGCATTCGTCACAATATTCCACCTGATTTACTTAAAAGATAAATAAAATTAAAACAAAAGTAGCCAGAGGAATTTGTCCACGTTTTACGATATAAAGTCAAAAATATTCAAAGCACGAACTGAGATTATTAAATATAATAATAATAATCATAACAGTGAGTTTGCTTCAAACAGCATTGTCGATTCAGTTTGAGAATTTTAGCATGTTATAGATTATTGAATCGAATGTTTTGTTTCTATAGCATGATGATGGGTTAGACAAAATTAAGTTATAACACAGCTTAAATGGTGATTACACATATGAGAAAATAAATAAACAAAAACCAAAAATTGAGAGGATTATAAATATAAGAAGTACAATAACAATAAAGTTTGATGTTGTAAGGGTGCAGAAAATGGTTTATTTACTGGTGCAAAGAATGTCAGTTAGGTCATGCCTGCCACCATTTTCACCACGTAAAATACGTGCCAAATGTAGTATCGTGGAATTTCTATACTTAGACGTACGTGCATAAAGTCTTCTGAAAAGACTTCTTGTTTTACCTGAGGAGACGCGAGGTTGGAGCTGTGGGTAGAGTGTGGGTGCTCAGTGTCTGACAAAATTCCTTTAGCGAATTTGTTGCATGACATCAAGTGCCTTTCAGTGACAATGTCAACGACATGGCCAAATGGGATACCACTCGTCCTACTGACAGTCTTCAGAGTTCTGCGAAGTGTGGCATAGTCTTTTTTAAGCAATCCAGAAAAGAATAAGGGTGAACAGTAAAAAAGAATAGGTAAGATGTAAGAGTAGACAAACTGTAAGAGGAGTTGTTGGGTTATGCCTGAGTGTCTTAACTTCTTAATGTAAAATGTCAGACGAAATATTCTTTTAGAAATCGGTAAGACATGGGAAGAGCAGGATAGGTGAGAAGAAAGAATTAATGCAAGATACTTAACTTCAGACTTGATTTCTATATCAGTATTATCAATTTTGCAAAGGTCGATAGGCACTTCTATTCAATTCTTGCAAGTGATTCGCTAAAATTATCTTGTCTGATACAGAACGTCCCCTTTATTCGAAACTTTTGTCTGGTATCTTTCCAGGTGAAAGCAGAAGGAACTTCATAAGAATCTACGCTCCTACAGCTACTAAATATGCAAATTCTACCACACCACCATATTTAGCACAGGTTTTGTGTGAAGAGAGTCAGAGAGAGACATTTAGATGTCGGAAAACAACTTGTAAACTTTTCGAATCAGTAATCTGAACTGCAAAGTATAAGCAAAGATTATTTTTCAATGTATTTTCTATGATACTATCTACTTGTACTTCATTGTGTTTCCACCAACATTCTGTTTATAGTGGTGGTTTCATTACTCGTATTATTATCATTATTACTATTTTAAATTTTCTGTATGTACATATTTACAAAAAGAGGTCAATTGTTGTGATATGTATAAAAACTCTGAATATTCCATTCTGTATAGTTAATATTTTGTTGTTGTTGTTTGGAGTAAAGTGATTATTATTTAAAAGGTATTGGTTTAGGATCACAGTAACAACGTCTTCAAAATATTTCTAAAAGTATGGAGAGATCCTCAAGATGAACATGTGGCTCAATGTTTCATGAATTATGTTGTATTTTTAATTCTCAGCCATTTCCTAAGAGAGAATGTATTACCCACTCCATTGAATGAGTACTACCAATAAGTCACAAATTACTACTAAGCGACTGTCGAGTACTTCCCATTTTTCAAAGATTCTCCGACTGAAATCAATATGTGGTCAAACTTGAAAGCCAATTTTTGCTGAGTGTTATAAATGAATTCTGTTGATAAATGAAATCCTAAACAAAGCCAAAGTTCAGAATATTTGCTGACCTAACTTCACTGTATGTCACCCAAACTCGAAGACATACAGGCGGAAACCAAACAGTTATTCGAAGAACCAAGCAGGAAAGATGGGACTTCAAGTAAATATGCAGAAGACGGAGGTGGTGAAGATAGCCAAACCATTCAGCCATCAACAACAACCAGTACTAATCACTATCAATGGAAAAAACATAAAGAGGTCAGTTCCTTCACGGTTTTAGGCCACATCATTTCAACTGCTGGGATGCCCCACGGATGGGGATGACAAAACTAGCCAGGCTAGGGAAAGCAAGATACACCTTCAACACAGTGAAGTCAGTTTGAAAATTGTTTGCACTCCACAGCATAAACAAGGAAATTAATATTTTCAACTCTAATGTCAAGTTAATTTTTTCTATATGGATCGGAAACTTGTACTATGTGCCATGAAAAGCATTTTCAACAGATTTTCATCAGCAGCCACCTCCACTGGTTCCATTTTGAAGATAAGGTGATCAGCATGAAGGAATTAGCATCATGAAACTCTGGGAAAAAACAGTTAGGAAACTGCTATTCAACAAACATTCCGAAGATAAAAATGGATGGGACACACGCTGAAGAGACCGTTGGGTGACATCGCTCGAGTAGGACTCGAACGGAAGACGATGAGTTTAGTGCTGATTAGAGGGCGACATGGAAGTGATCGTATCAGGAGATGAGAGGTTGTAGGCGATCGTAAAGCCTGATTAAGAGGACCGCAATGAACACGACAAAGCAGAGAAGTAGCGCCGAAACCCTGTGTGCCACTTGGAACTCAAGGAAACAATAATGATAATAATGTAATCTCACCGCCTAACAATAGATAAAATAAGAGCCAAATATCACATGAGTGATGGCGTTACATCTGAATTTCATGAAAATCAACTTGTAACTGTGATCATAATGAACGTCTTATGAAAGATCTGTTATTTAATATGCTGAATACTTTCAAACCTTGTATGATAGGATTCAAGTCGGATAATAAAGAGATTATAGCTTTATTCCAAATAGTACTTTTGGTACAAATATGGAATTTCCAGTATGTATACAGTATTACATCTAGTTTTCGCTTTACTTAATACGGGTGAGATAATTGAACAGGGCATTTACAGTGATAATATTTTTAAATGAGAATATGAATATAAAATTAAAACTGAAGTGAAAACATTAACAACAAGATAATAATGAAATTAGGAATATAAAGGGCTTTTCAAGTATTGGTTTTTGTAGGGATTTAGTTTAACTGGTTGGAGTATTTCATCATGAGCTGACGTTGGTTAGAGAACCATTGGAGAACCTGGGAGTACTGGACAACTGTTTCGCCCTAGTTTTGGACTGTTTATCAGTACTCATCCACCGCCAGGGTTCAAACCCGGCACCTTCTGGTTACAAGGCTAGCGAGCTCGTAGGCCATTAAGCCACTGGGATGCTATCCAGTGGTCAGCCCATGAATTCTAACTCATGCCAATTCATAACATAGCGCACCAAGTTGAAGATGAGGCAGTAACTCATTGAAGAAGACATTGAAAAGTGGTCGCGGTATGTGGTGAATTGGCAGAAGTTAGAATTCATGGGCTGACCATTGGATCAGGTTCCAGTAGCGTAATGGTGTACGAGCTAACTCGCCTTGTAACCAGAAGGTCTTGAGTTTTATCCCTGGCGTACTGCTGGAAAGTCCCACTCATCCTACTGACAACTTTTAGTGCTCTTCGCAGTGTAGAAAGTTTTTCTTAAGTAGCCTCGGAAAGATTTACGGAGGAGGAATACAGATAAATATGTAGAATACATGAATTAAAAAACTAAAAGTAGAAACTGAGTGATACCACATTGTCTCAACTTCCTTACGCAAAACGTTCAAAGAAATATCTTTTTAGAAACTAAGATGACGCGCCAAAGGTATAAACGCTACTCATCAATGGAATTAAGTAGCAGTGATACTATATTATGACTGGGAAGTAATTTGATAAATAATTATATGGTTACTTCATAAGCCGACAATGACAACGTTTACCTAATATAAAATACGGGTACACAATTTTCAGGAATAAGTGAAGACAGCAAAATAAACTGTCTAACTCCTTCCGATTTACAAATGCATTGTAATACCTTATGTTTGTTAGCATCGAAATCTATCTTGGGAATAATTAAAACCCCAGTGAGTCAACTTTCAGTTGTCGGCTTATCTATTTTATGCAGAAATCAACCGCATTAATCTTCATAACTGATTTTAATAATTTTAATTTTTTTTAACAATCAGCAGTGGAGTTCATAATTAACAATACCAAAAATATAGTAGGAATAATAATCGATTCATCTAACTTCCTCCCATCCTTTGATACGAACAGATCAAAGTGTTTAAAGTATTGGGAAGCAAAAGAACAGTTAGCATAGA